TGCTGGAGGAAAGGGTCAGTTCTCTGAAAGGATCCGGTCTTGCTCTGGAGGGGTAAGAAACTAAAAATTGAGGAGCAGAAAGGGAAGCAAATGCTTCAATGGTTTACATTTTAAAGCAAATTTGATTTTTTTTTTTTTTTCCCCTAAAGAATTGTATATAGAGGTGGTTTGAATCATCATTCTTAATGATTTGGAAGCACAACCTTCACTACATAAGGAAATATACATTTGCAAATCTATGTTTGCTGGGTTTTCTTCTCTCAGCTTTGCCTTGTTGCTTCAGTGGATCCATTAATCATGAGTGGTTTTAAAAGTTTTTCTTTTTTGATTAAGGGTACATTAACAAAGTTTTTTTAACTTTCCAAATGTATGAAATGTCTTTCAGAAAGGAAAAATAGCATAATTTTATCCTCTGAGATCTTTTTTTACCTACAAAGTTGTTCCAAACCCATGTTGTTTAATCCACTGAGTGAGAGGATCCACAGTCTTCTGAATGCTCTGTGTCAAATATTTTCAAGCAATTAAAACCTGGTACCTTGTCTCATATCAGAAATCAAGAGCATCCATCAGGAGAAGTTTCCATCAGTCCGTTGGGTGGTGGCGTCAAACCAAGTAGGTCTGCAAGGGCTTTGCTGGCTTGTCTCAAAGTGCTCTGCAGCATTTGGGCTATGTTGAGAATGAAAATTCTGTGCTATTTGCAGTTACTGGATGTGTCTGGGAAGGGTACCAATTGGTATCATGTGATAGCAGTGATGGGTAGAAGCCATTTTTCAGTAGGATAAATATTATAAATATCACTTTCTTTAGTCTTATTTAGGACAAAATGAGAAGGGGAAGAAGTTGGAGGATTCTTGGTCTTGGGAAAGAGGATGATCTGTGGGAAACCTTTCACCTTATGACAAGGTAACTTGACATGTTACCACATGATACCAGCCTGGACTGATGTGTAAGGCCAGGCTGCCCAGGCATTGCCGGACAAGGGCCTCACAAAGGAAATAATTTTCCTGGGACTGCATGCATTTGACATGTGTGCCCGCTTTCAAATCCCATGTTTTCTGCCACCCCCAACACAAAGCATAATTTCAGGGATGTCCTGACCCCTCCAACCATGACTACTGTTGCTTCCTTGGTTTCCTTCCAGCCTGGATGTGCGGAGTTGCTGATCTCGACCATTAGTGGTTAGTGAACAGGTTCATGAGCATCCTGCCCCTGACAGGACAGCTTTTGCATGGGGGGTTTATTTTTTGGGCTAGGTGCTCCAGTGTGGTTGCTCTGGGGTAAGCATTGTGCCTCCAGTGGGACCACAGTCCTTCTTCATGGTGGTTGTGCTCGTGACCTGTCTGATGTGGTGGACATGAAGTGCAGAAAACAGCAGGGAGAGTTTCTTCTGAGAAGTGCTGGAAACATTCCCAGGACTTCTCTTTTGAGCCAATTTGTCGTTTCTCACTACTGACAGTAGCTCTGAGGTACCTGTTGCACTGCCATGTGGTGACTGATGTGTGCTCAAGAAACACTTTCCTGGCCACCATCTTGGTAATCCGCCTTCTCTGGAGGCACTAAGTTGCATTTCCACGGGCAGGAAGGAGTTCAGAGGGATTTATCAAGCCCTTAGCACTTCACCTGAGGTCTTTGCAGCCCAGAAAGTCCCTTTTCTGTACCAAAAAGCTTGCTGCTTCTGCAGTCCTGAGCCAGGGTGGGTGGATATGGTCTTGCCATGTGGGGGAAATGGGGAGCTGTGTGTCCCCATAACCTCACTGAGCAGTCTTTTTAAAAGGAAAGCATTTAAGGTATTCCCCAAAATGTGTTTAGCTGCTATCAAACTTCCTTTTCCTCCTCCACCCCCAGCAACAGCTGGGTTGTCCTTGCTGTAGTTACAGAGCCACAGTGCGGTCTTTTCCCCAGTTCGTTGCTTTTCATGGGGTGAGACTGGCAGGACACACCATCATTATACCAACTCCTTAGAACTCAATTTTCAAGTTTTCATAATGATCTAGCAAATATACTACCTTCAAGAAGAGCTCTTGCTCTTCCTGCCAATGCACAACCTACTCCTGGCTCATCTGTGTTCCAGGACCTTTCCCATGACAGCAGAGTGATTGACTGCTCGTGGTTTTGTCACAGGAGGCTCTTCAGTTACCTCCAAGACCAGTGCACAATTTGGGACAACCTTGCAACCAAAGCAGGGTATTCCCAACAGCAGAGAGGTGGCCAGGGCTATCTGTCAGCCCACATGGCAAAGCAGGTTGTTTCTCCACCGATGGCAGCAGCAAGCGCATTCCTTTGGTATTGCAGCAAGGAGATAATATATCAGTAAATCTTGCTTCTCCCCACCAGCCAGTCCAAAAATCACTGAGTCAAAAGGTGATTGAACTTTGACTGAACATGACCTTGAAGTGATGACTCAGACTGCATGTGCTCAGTGCTAGCTGGAATATTAACCCTTGGATTAGGGTGCACAAAAGAAATGGTGATGAAAGAGGAAAACTGAACCTCCTGAGATGTTTGCCTGTTGGAAGCTGAGTGGGAGGGAAAATGTCAGAGGTGGTCTCAGCCTTAAATTCCCATCAAAATACATGGGTGCTGGGGGAAGCAAAAGGGTATTGCTCATGGGGTCTTTCATCCCTCCTGCCAGCAAGGGCAACCAGCTGCTCTCTGAGGGATGTGATAGGTCCCATCATGTTTGGGAAGAGCAAACTGCCAAAAGCCTTCAGATAAAGCATGCTTTACCAGCTGGTGAATTTATGCATGTTGCAACCTATCTGGGACTCAAAAGGAAAACAGATAGAAAAAGCTGGTTTTTTTAAAAAATAATTTTTTTAGCAAATAAAAATACATTAATAAAATGTATTTTACACTTAAAATACATCCTGTATTCAAGTTCTTCTAGTAGAGTTTGGAAATCCCGAGGACTGATGTTCCATGGGGATTAAGAGTCACAGCCAGATGGGAAGCAGCAGCCATCCCACAGGTTGGTCAAGCTGTGATGAAGCAAAGAGGAGGGAAAAAGTCCTGTTCCCAAAGTTGTCATGCACCAGAGCTGATCAGTGCAATCCCGAAAGGTTATTTTAGAGAGGTAGGCACTGTTTGTAACTTAAAATAAATGCACTGGGAAGAAAAACTATCATCTCCTTGTGCGGTAAAATTTATTGATTGGTTTCTTCTTATCTTGCACAGTGCTTGACTCACAGGGCTATAACAGCAATAATTTTCAAGCTGAACTTTTCAGCTGGGAGGCGTTCCTCTAGACGCTGGGACACGCAAGGGTTCTCAGGTAAGTTTGCATGAGATTTCACTAGGATTTCATAGGACTAATGTTTGCTTCTTTTAGTATTACTTCAGCAGTTTAATCAGTTGGAAGAAGAAAACTAATTGCGTATCGTGCAGATGTGTTTAAGGCTGGTGCTGTGGTGTCAATTATCTGGACAGGTTGCAGTGTCGTGCAGCTGGCTGCCAATGCCACGCTTGGAGAATAAAAAGGGGAGGAAGGAAACCCATAATATTGGATTTGTTGCCACTAGGAGATTTGCTAGGTGAAATTCAGCAATGATCGTGACTGCTGTAGCTTACCATGGCAAAAGATGCTGATAAGAAAGGTCACCTATAGCAAGTCTGGGTGACCACTTGGCTCTCTGGTGATGTGGTTTCTCGTTGCAACCTTTCCAAGACCATAAATGCTTGTTTCAGCAGTTATTTTTTGCAGGTTCATTGTTTCCAGGGCATATCATCTCTGGGGAAGAGCCTGCAGGCATGAGCTTTACCAAGCCCTATGCCAGACCCACCATAAGGCAAATGGTACCTCCAGGAAAATTAGAGGCTCTGCTTCACTCTTCCCTTTCTAATTGCACATCCATCCTTTCCGACCTCCACTCCTGCAGCAGTCGGGCCCCAGCTGGGCCAATGCCCCAGCTGCAGCAGGCTGCTTGGAGCTGTGTCCGGGCGAGTCAGAGACATCCCCAAGGATTGAGACCCCCCTACTGCTCTAAACAAGGAACCAGTTTTTTTTGGGCAGATACATGGTTCATTCACAGGCAGAGAAATGGGATCTGCAGTAAGTTTGGTCTACTAACACATCTAAGGACACTTGGAAATGTCCAAAGGTATTTTAATGGCTTATTTCTACCTTGTATGGGTGCTTAGCAGAAGGGCAAAAGGCACAACTTTGCTACAAGTGTCACTTCCCACCGGGCAAGACTGAAGCCCTTGATGCGAGTCTCAGGTGTCAGAGCAGGACAAATCAGAAGTCACCAGAGCTTTGATCAGAGAGGGAAATAGCATATTTTCCCATAACCATATTTTGAATAAGTTTTCTTGTTAATCTTTAACCCAAAATAAACCTCTGACCAAGGAGGAAGAACAGTGTTCAAAAAGCCAACCCAAAGAGTTCTGCATAGGATGAAGAAAGCCAGCATCTATACATGGGGTCTTATCTTGGAAAGCTGTCACAACCACTACTTTTTCTAGCCAGGAGAGAACTGCACTTGGACATGCCATGGGGTGTGCTTTTCTCGCACTGAGTTTCCTAAATTGACCTTTATTATGGCGACAATATTGTTTTCTGATGTGCTCTGAGCACTTGAGCAGCTGAAAAGCTGTGAGGCTTCAGGCCACAGCATCTCCCTCAGCCGCTGAGTGAACATAGGATCTGGTGGAAGATTATGGGGTTTATTTAAAAGATTTCTTCAAAAGAGCGAGCAAAATGTCCAGGGAAATGTGAGATCAGTAATTCAGCAGCTCACCCTGTCTTATTGGGCCTTGTGACAGGGAGTGATTGCTGCTCACAGGAGATAGATTTTTGCTGTCTTAAGCAGATTAAAAAATAAATCTCCACTTCCCATCCTTATCGCTGCTGCCACCTGCTCTGATACTGGGGCAGGGGAAACAAACCATCACCAGCGCCTTTGAGGGTGCAATGTGCTGCTCTGGGTGGGACGTGCCCGACATCGGGGCTGTCCCATCTGCCTTCCCCACGGGCTCCTTTCTGCTTTCACAGTGCCCCCACCATGTGCGGGAAGAGGTCCAAGTGCTCCTTCTCCCGCCTGGAGGTGATCCTCATCATTTGCCTGGTGGTGATGATAGTGGTGACCGTGGTGCTCCTCATCCTCCACTTTCTCACCAAAGAGAGCAACGGTAAGTTGAACTATTATTTCACTCCTGCCATCGCACCCTGCTCGAGTGTGTGTCCAGTGCAGTAATTTAAATTAAAGCAATACAGGTAGAGGGCCACTGGGCTACTGCTGAGCCTTCATAATCTTCTCTGCACGTGGTCCTCTTGCACAGCCGTGGCATGGTGCTGTTGCTGGCCTCTGCGATAGGAGCATGGTGGTCAAACCCAATACAAGCATCTCTCGGGGCATGGATGCACAGCCTCAGGTCCGGTGGGTGAGGCTGGCTGCAGGGATCCAAAAAACCTTCCTTCTGTCTCTTTACCCAGTGGAGGGTGTCCCGAGAGCCCCTCACTCCTGGCACTGCACCAAGGGGCTTCACAGCTGTTGCAATCCTGTAACAGCCCATTTACGCCTCCAGCCCCATCACCAGGCATGGGGCAGGTGGGTGTTGGGAACTGCCCAAAGTTAATGCTCAATTCACTTCTAATGTACCCCATGCTTGTCCTCTGGAGAGATAAAATCTCATGGGGAAAGAAAACATTTTGAAGCTTTGGGTGTTTCCATATGACAGGAGCCCTTTCCCAGAACCAGGGGTCTCCCCTGCCCTGGACCGGGCATCACCCAACATGTCAGCAATGGGACCTTCCCATTTCTAGATTTTGATCTTGAATTGGATGTAGTTCACTCTTTATGTTTTTTAGGTTGTAACATGTAAAAGTTTTGCACAAGCAATTCTTCTCTGTGTTGTAGCTCTTGGAGGAGGAGGTGGAGGAATGGTAGTTTTAACGGGTAGCCCTGTTCGCTCATGCTGTTTTAAATGAAAGAAATGCCCTGTGGTCAGTCTGTGGCCAGTGTGAGTGTTTCACTTCTCCTCTGTTTTAAGTGACAGCCTAGGAAAGGCCAAACTGGGAAGACCAAGCATCCTCTTATCCTGATGCCTTGCCTCGAGCAGCAGTGGCTGGCTGGGAAGACTGTGAGAACAGATTAAGCACATAGAAATATTTTCCCACAGTGTTATCTCAGCCTCCAGTGATTTGTTGCTCTGGGATTTCCTGAGACGCAGACAATTTTTTTTTTTTTTTTTTTTTTATTTAATAGCCCTCAATAGCTTTTCTTCCATGAGTTTGTCCAGGCGCTTCATTCATCCTGTAGAAGGATGGCTTCATGATGGCTGGGATCAGACATAACCTCCTTCGGGAGTCCTTTTCCTCACTGCTTGCCTGGAGATCATTGCCCAGAGCCACTATTCCCTTCTTTGAGCTTCTGCTGGCTCTGCTGTGATTTTTTTGAGACCAGGGCACCAGCACTGGACACTGGATGCACTGGAGACACCAGGGCAATATATGAATGTGCCCCTCTTTCTTCTCTAGTCTTTTCCTGGTAACTCCTGACATGCCATCCCCTTTTTGTCATTGCTGCTGAGCTGATTTTTTTGTGTGAAAACAGCTCTTATACCCTCAAATCTATTTCCTGCATGGTAGAGGTGGCCTTGGAGAGTTTAATTGATGAAGCTAGGCTTGTTTCCCCCTCACTGTGAATCACAACACATTTGACACAGTCCCATGACCCCATCTTGTGAGCTCCCTCTGCAGTTCTTCATGCCTGGTCGACTCTTTACCACCCCAAATGCCTTAACAGCCTCAGCACACTTTGACCACACTGACAGCCCATTGGAAACCCAAGCAGACAGTACCAGCTGGATCCCCTTGTCCATGGGCCTGATGAATCCTCTGGGGATGTTAAGCAGGTTTCATGCATGCAGTCTCTTTAAAAAGGTTGGATTGTCTCTTCTGTCCCTGATTCTGCTTGCTCATGTGTCCACTAATCTATTATTTTTTCTTATTATAGATACCAGTGAACTGGTATCAGCAAACTACTTACTGGGCGTGGGTCGAGCTGACTGCACGGGACCTGTGGCAGAAGTTCCTCTGGTAAGTTGGGGAAACTGAACACAGGGTTGGTGAAATACTGATTTTCATAATCTATGAGTATTTTTTGCAGGAATTCTGGTTTAGAGGCTCTGCCTTGCCAAATGGTTGCCATCTTCAAATGTTAGGTGAAATTTCTTTGAGGCATTGAGCAACCTGGTCTGGTGGAAGGTGTCCCTGCCCATGGCAGGGGGCATTGGAACTAAATGATCTTTAAGGTCCCTTCCAACCCAAACCATTCTGTGATCCAATGATTCTTGCAATCACAGGGCAAGATAGTTGCAACTCTGAGTTTTCATATATTGAAAGATCCCTCTGACCTTCTGGCAAATCTACTTAGAAAAATACACATAAATGAGCACCTCGCTCAATATTTTGGCTGCGTGGGCTTGATGGAGCTTTTCCCTTCCAGATGGGATATGCCAACCCGGAGCAGGTGGGCAGAGGGCTTCTCATGCGCCTCTACAGTCGAGCCTTCATCGTGGCAGACCTTGATGACTCCAGGCGAGTAGTGTTTGTCAGCGCTGACATAGGAATGGTGTCTCAGAGACTGAGGCTGGAGGTGCGTGGCTGGCAATGAATGAGTCGCGCAGTTTGGGCTGTCGCTCATATTAGCATTAAGGATGTAGTTATTCCTAAATAATATCAAGCACAGCAGCACATTGATCATTTGCTTTGCGATCTCCTTGCAGCATGATCTTGGAGAGACATCATGTCTCTGCTGAAGAAGAGCTTTCAATTCCTCAGCAAATGAGGATGGACTTTGACCATGCTTTTCTTAGCGGAAAAATTATCACGAATACATTTGAATCACAAATACATTACTATGGTGCCTGTGTGATGTTGGGTCTCCAGCATCACAGAGGAGGGAGGGAGATGCCAGAGAACTGGGGACTCCTTGGATGATCTGGGTTTCACTCCATGTTGGCCATAGAGGTCTTCACTTAACAGATTTTTATTATTTTAAGGCTCTTGCCAAGTCAACAGCTGTAACCTACTTGTTGTGACCCCAGTATGGGACTATCAGGCAGAAAGAGAAGAGTGAGGAGGAAGATGAATGGTTGGGTTTTTTTGTAAGAGCTTATACATATCTCCTAGCCTTTGGGTGTGAAAATGGTTTTTTTAGGACCACCTGCTTCCTCTTAGGTGCTCAAGAAACTGAAGAGCAAGTACGGCGAGCTGTACCGACAGGACAATGTCATCCTCAGCGGCACCCACACGCACTCAGGGCCTGGTGGCTACTTCCAGTACACCCTCTTCTGGATCACTAGCAAAGGGCTAATCAGACCATCCCTCAACGCTATTGTGAATGGCATCGTAAAGGTTGGTGTCGTCCAGTCTGTTGACACAAGAGCCCATAAACACAGAAAAGGTGGAGGGAGATAGGTTTGTGACTAAGGAGCTCTTGCTGTGATGTTTGCGGTATCACCTCCGAATGTCGCAGTCTTCAAACACACTTGGAGGTGGATTTATGCTTAGCAGTGAAATCAGATCAAAACCCAGAAGCCTTGAAGTTTTTAGAAAGCAACACTTGTGGGTGGTTTTAAAATACTATAATAATTTTCTAGAATCTTAGACTACTTACTTAAGAAAAAAAGAAAAAGCCCCCAAATTCCCAAGAAAGGGTGGGGAACAGGCAAGGAGGGAAAGGCAGAGTTTTTCCAGATAATCTCACATATACCTTACATGCATGGACTAATATTCCCTGTCTTCCTGCTTTTCAGAGCATTGATATAGCACATCAGAACATGAAGAGAGGAAGGCTTTTTATAAACAGAGGCACTGTAGAAAACAGCCAGATCAACCGAAGCCCTTTCTCCTATCTTGAGAATCCAGCATCCGAACGAAGCAGGTAAAAGCCCCTCAAGTGGGAGAGACACAGAGCCCCGCAGAGGACCCTTCGGTTGGGACCATGACCCAACCATCTGGCAGCTGGTGCTTCTGGTCATTCGTGGGATAGTTGAAAATGTAGAGCCAAGACCATGGCAGAATGACACTGTTGCCTACCTGGGTGCTTGGGCGTGTGCGTCCCCAAAAATTAGCTGTGAGAGTGGGCTTGAAAGTTGTGGTTGTCCCCTCCAACCATGTGAGGCATTGGTCAAGGATATGAACTTAGGTTTTATTTAAAAAAAAAAAAGAGAGAGAGAAAAAAAAAAGTCTTTAGTAGACATTAGCATTTGAGTCAGACGGCATTAAAGTGCCATCCTTGGTGCATGAATTTGTACTCAGAGAGAGCTCTTCTCTCCACCCCCTGGAGAAGCAGCATCTGAGGTCAGCAACAACCATAACTCTTACCTTACCTTCACAGCTATTTTCAGATGCTCTTCTAAGGTCTCACTGTGCTCTGGTAATATCTGTAATAACCTCTTCATTTTCTTGCTCAACCTAGTGGAGATTTAATGTGTCTGAGCATTGCAGAGCGTGACCACAGCTCTGGTCCTAATGGGGTTTCCCCACTTCATTTTCATCCAGGTATTCATCCAACACGGATAAAGAAATGGTGATGCTCAAGATGGTAGATGAGAATGGACAGGAGCTAGGCCTTATCAGGTACCAACCACTGAAGTAACATGTTTTTCTCCAAATCCTCATAAACCACAGTTCTGTAGCAGTTCTGTCTTTCTGCACAAGCTCTCCTTCCCCACACTGACCCTTGACCATAGAGCATTGCTCCCAGCTAGTCACCAGAGGGTCTCTGAGAGAAGAGTAAGTGAGAATCCATGAGTGCATAAACCAGGTCAGTGTCCCTCATCTACTCTGGGAGATACAGCAGCACCTGGCCCACCTACAGCTGGGCACATCTGGCACGACTCAAAGGCACCTGGGGAAGATGACTGTAGCTGGTCCTCCCTTGTAGGGGTGCAGAAAAATCACCTCTGGGGCTCTCGCTGTGCCCCTCCAAGCAGATTCCGACCCTGGCATCTCCAGGACCCTTTGGGCTCCTTTTCTCTTGGTTATTTCTTTAAGACCCCATGTTTCATGGGAAGCGTGCCATTTCTGCAGGCAGCATGCACGACGCCCATCCTACCAACAGATCTGTGGGGCAGCGTTTGGCCGCGCAAAGTTCAGAGCTCAAGGCCAGGCAAACAAAGTAACATGCAGTAACAAAGCCATAATAGCATTTTCCTCATTTTGAAGTCACAAGCAAGAGTCTGACTGTGTTAAGAGGAAGAGGAGCATTTTCTTTTTCGTAAGAGTGAAAGTGTTCCTTTTTTTCCTTTTTTACATTGTTGACATCATTTCTTTGAAGCAAGAAAATAAAAATCCCTCCAAAATATAATTCTCTGAACTTAGAAAAGAGTCAGTTCAGGTCTCAAATAGCTCTTTGGTGGCCCTGATAATTACGGTGCCAAATTCTTGTGGCCTCAAGACCTGGACCATCATAGCCATGAGCCCTCCTGGTCAGGAAGGGAAAGGATGGTAATAACTCTGCCCTCGTTAATCCATCCCTAGGTACTAACAGTCTGCGTCTGTATTCTCCCAAAGAAAATTCCCATAAGTCAATTGCAAATATATAGATTGAACAAGTCAATTGCCAACATATAGATTGAACAATGCATTTCTTATGTGTGTCTTCTGACACCTCTTCAGCTGGTTTGCTGTGCACCCAGTCAGCATGAACAACACAAACCACCTTGTAAACAGCGACAACGTGGGCTACGCATCTTACTTGTTTGAACAGGAGAAGAACAAGGGGATGCTTCCTGGAGAGGTGAGAGTGTTTTCAGACTACTGAAAATAATGGGGAAAAAAGTGTTGCAACAGGGAGGGGGCGGTTGGTGCTTTCTATGGCCAAAGCAGGTTCTTTCAAAGAGTGAAATAAGACAGCAGGTTAAACACAGAAAAAGAAGGACAAAGATGAACGCTTTGATTTATTTACTTTCTTCCTCTAGAGAAGAGAAATTGCAAGGTGTACTCTTGACTTTCCAAAACAGTAATCAGTGGCATTTATTTAGACCTTAGGAATAGACCAAATTTATTTTGATTCGACTATTGGAAATACTAGAAAGACATGTGTGGGACACTTGATCCAAAGGGATCAAGATATTGCATCTGCAGTGTGGCATCAAGTCTGTGGTCAGCCCCACTTCTTTCTTATGGCTTCCAGCCAGTTCTGCCTTCTGATTTTCATTTATCCAGAAGATTTGCCATCCTCGGAGTGCAAACACAACTCCTTTAAAAAGCATCATTTCCCCTGAAATGTAAATATGGACATGAACCCATCTCACAGACACTTTGAGTCATGAGCCATTTAAGAAGGTGTCCTGTGTGTATCTCCAGCATGTACCTTGAAACAGTTGCCCAATTCCTATTCTAACACTCTGGGCAGAGGAGCATGTGCAGTTCATACCAAAGACGGAAACTAAAGGAAGTCTACCTAATTCCTGCTTGCAAATGTTTCTTTTTATAGTGGATTATCTAAAAGCTTTTAACAAGACTCAATTCTCGTGCACAGTTATGGGTGCAAGTCAGTGCAAGTTGACATGCACACAAAGCTAAGAAGTGTTTGCAGGATTCAACATTTAGCTGTATGGTCTGCTGGGCACATTGTGTCTAGCAGTCTAACAAGAAAATGGCTTAAGAGTTGATATTATATCAAACTATCTGGTGTTGACGCATCTTATCTCTTCAAGAGCGGGGAAAAAAAGAAAGTATCTGTGAGAGCTGAATTCAGCTGACACTCAGTGTGTAACCAGCCTTGCTTCTAGCGAGTACTGTTTGATGTTAACTCCTGCAGTCAGATCCAATAGCTCTCACCCTGTAAATCAGTCATGGTGAAAGCCTGGCAGAAAAAAAATCCTGTGCAAGGTGCTACAATGATCCATTAACATCTGATCAGTAACATAAGAAACTGGGGACATGGGGGAAAAGCTGCCGCTGAGATGGAAGAGGTAGATGAAGAAACCCTGTCTGGATACCAAAGCGATGTGAAGGTCCCCCTGAAATGGCAGTTGCATCCTGTGTGTCCTATTCTCCCTTGCTCTTCCTGTCCCTAACCCTTGGGACACTCCTAAATCCCCATTCCAGTCCTCCCAGTCACTTCAGAAATGTTTACGAGCATCACATGCTCATCAACTGGCTGTAATGTCAGCCTTGACTGCAGGGAAAGCTGCAGGTGATGTTTGCAATCACTGCAAGGCACTAAAATCCATCTGATCACGTCTGGTTTTGGCAGGGCTCTTTTGTTGCCGCCTTTGCATCCTCCAACTTGGGAGATGTGTCGCCCAACACCAAAGGCCCGTTCTGCGTAAACACGGGGCAATCATGCAATAACTCACATAGCATCTGTCCTGTAGGAGGGGTAAGTATGTCTTACCTGATCTACGTTAACTTCTGCTAAGGAGAAAACTTGGAGTGGAGCAGCAAATACAGGGCCACGTGGTGGACCATTGTGCATGAAGAGGATGTAAAAAAAAAAATCAAAAAAAAATCTCTTTATGGACTATTCTGGATACCTTTTTCAGGAACTTACTGTGTCTTGTCCTTATACACTGTTTTCTGGTCATTCAGCCCAAACTTAAATTTATCTTACTGCAAAGGTTAGTGTAGTAAATTGGTGCCCAAATTTGAGATGGCTAGCAAGAAGCAATTAGTTCCCACAGCATGACAATCACTTGTGAACTCATTCACTTTGCAGTGCCACATATTCTCCATATTAACTGATCACTAGCATTTAAACAAATTTCTTAACAGGCAAAGATGTGCATGGCCATGGGTCCCGGTAATGACATGTTTGACAGTACAAGAATCATAGGGCAAAATATCTACTTGAAAGCAAGGGTAAGTGATATTTTGCTTTACGAATGTGCGTGAATGCTGTTAGTACAGGAATGCATGTTCATTTAAGCAACTTTCTTGCACCTGTTTTTGTGAATGTTTGTAAATTTAAATTACTCCAAAGTCCATAGTTATATGCTTAAGGAAAAGTTTCCTGATTATTCAGAAAGCATACTCTTTTATTTAAATACATCATTGTGGGTGTTACAATTTGAAAATGTTGGTTTGGGCTTTTAATCTCAATATTCCTTATTGGTATATAAAGTGGATGTTGCCTCTTATAGTCTTCCCCTCCCTCTCATGCACGTGTTGTGATGGGAAAAATCACTGGTGTTGAAGACTCCTAGAAGAGCTCAGAGTCACCATCACGTACCACTTGTTGGCCAACTTTAGCATCACACTCCCAAACTAACGCAAATGTGAGTTAAAATGTGCCAGTTTAAACATCCACGAAAGAAACTCATCTTGCCCCGCTTGACTTTGCATTTACTCAGCCGGTATCCTCCACCCCATAGGTTCCCTCACGTCGCCTGTGTCATTGGGCTCAAAAATCACTGGAATTTACCAGTTCCCTTTCTGCAGCTTCGTGTAATGTGAGAGTAGTCAATAAGAGGACATTTTTTGGCACTGTGTCAGGGAGAGCAGCTTGTAGGAACTGGGACAGGTCCAGCAGAGGAATAAGAGCAGAAGGCTTGATGGTGGCGGTTTCCTTTCAATCACCATTTCAGATGCGTGCCCCGAAGTCACTCCACGCTGATCATGACTTGCAAGTGAAAGATTGTCCCAGTCAGAGAGGCCTGGTGTGTGTATCAAATGGCGAGGGAAAACATTGCTGTCATTTTTAACGCTGCAGACTCTTGGTCTTCAAAAGCAGCGTCCTCTATTCCTTCCTGCAGTTACAGGAATGTTACTAAACCTGTATAACTTCTGGCAATACTTTCTGTGTACCAACTCGAGGCATGTGTGCCAGAAAACCATTCACTGAAGAGCTGAATGGCTTAGCTGTCAGCTGTATAGTAAATGCATGGTAAAGTCCATGTGATTTGAAGCAATGAATGCAACCAAGTGCGCCTTTCTCATAGAATACATTTCTTCTGGTTGGTCTAAGTTGTGAGAAGTGCCAAAAGGTTGCAACTAGGAGAAAGAAGTTGCCCTCCTCATGGAACAGGTGCATATTTCAGCTGTAAAAAGAAAGGCACACACAAAACTGCTGACCACAGAGCGTCCTCCCTATGTTACTTGACACAGGGAGAACTTGCAGGACTTGGGGCATGCAGGATGTAGAGATGGGGTGATAGAAACAAAGGAGCTTGGGAAATACACTCTTGCTTTAACACCTGGAAGAGGCCTCTGGAAGGTGTCAACAGAATGAAGAAATAGTTCATATAGCTGAATCTCAGAAGAGCTGGGTTCATGATTTCTTCTTCCTCAAGGATTTCCACCTTGTGTATCCCTTAGGAACTGTATGAAAAAGCTTACCAGGAGGTCACAGGGCCCCTCAGCTCAGCTCACCAGTGGGTGAACATGAGTGATGTCTCGGTGGAGCTCAATGCCACGCACACGGTAAGAGCAGGAACTCCCAGGATGCAGGCATAAGGAAGGAAGAAATGTTATATTCTTACAGCAGGACGTGGCACACTAAGGGGAACTGGTTTTAAAATACCTCTTTTTCATTTTTTTCCCCCTTCTGATTAAGGTTAAAACATGTAAACCAGCCTTAGGATACAGCTTTGCTGCAGGGACTATTGATGGAGTGGGGGCTTTCAACTTCACACAAGGTAATTTAGGGAGCAGATGTCAATATGGCTTCATACAAATGGGGAGGACATGGGGCATCCCCCAAATAGATTCAAACCCCCAGAGACATTTAAGAACATCAACAGCTCATTGAACCACAGTCTCCAAAGTGATGTTTTTTAGGAAGGTGTGATCTTACGGCCCCCTTGCAAGTTTGTCTGTGTTCGTCAGAAATCTTCTGGAGAAGGATATGACCATGATCTGAAGGAAGGAGAGTTCTGGATGGGGACTGGGGAGAAGAAAGTGCTGGTTTTGGGGCAAGCTTTCTCATTATCCAAAGGCTGCCAAGATGGAGCTCAGCTGGGTTAAAGCTAGGCTTTTTAAACCACCCAGAAAAGGGAGGTAGTCAGAATCCACTGAGAAATGTCCTATCCCACATAAGCAGGGAGGGGGTAATAAATGAGTTTTCTGTCCAATAACTGCTGGGGCAGCTGAAGGAACAGCATTTAAAAGATGTTTCCCCTTCAAGGCTCACTAGAAGGGAACCCGTTTTGGGATGAAATCCGGGACCAGCTGCTGGGAGAGCCCTCCAATGAAACAAAAGCCTGCCACAAACCCAAGCCAATCCTCTTTAGCACCGGAGAGGTAAGGATGCACTGGTGTGTGCCCTGGGAAGTGCAGAGATTGCTGATCTGGGCTAGGTTTCGGTAGGGTGCTATAAATGATGTATGTGCCAGCCCATATGGTGAAGAACAGCGCAGCAGAGAGAGCTGCAAGGGTTTTAAAGGCATGAAAATAGAAAACAAGAAAAAGTGTTGACATTAGTTTGCATCAGAATGAGAGGTGGAAGTTTTCCTCTTGCAGAGCATCTTTTCCTTATATCCCAGGAGGAGGGACCAGATCTGTTGCTCTCATTAGGGTCAAAAAGCCCATCCACCCTGGCCTAATTCTCTGCCTGTGAAACAGCCCTGAGCAGGATACACAGGGAAAATGCATGAGGTCAGGGAAAGTCAACAGTGCGTGGAGCTCAGCGTTGCCTCCTGGCAATCTCTGGCTTCAGGACATCCTCTGCTGGTGCTCAGATCTTAATAGCTCTGGGTGGATTTTTCTTCCATCCTACCATTGGTTTCCTACCTTAATCCATGAGAGGACCTTTCCTTCTGTCGTGTGACAGACTAGTCCATGCAAAATGAAGTAACTCATCATGGTGCCTTTTGGAAGCTCTGGGGACTGTATCAACATACCCACCTTCTCAGTGTTGTCTTCGGAGGTTTCTACTGGGCTTTGACTTCCTCTGGAAACGTTCTGTTGACTTCTCTGCTTTTTTTGTCATGTTTATGCAAGTGTCTGATAATTCTGTGAGCTGTAACATTGGCTGATGCCAGACTCACTCATCTACGGGTAGAGTCACACCAGGCTCAGGCCGGAGGTACCCTGGGCTAGGGTTCTCCAGCACGACCCCAGTCCCAGCAGGACCAACACTGGAGCTACAGCAGGTTGCTCAGGGCCATGTCCAGATGACGCGGGGCAGTCAGCAAGCATGGAGATCCCCCGCTGCTGGTCCCCATCCCAGGGATGCCCCACTCACACAGGGAAGGGTTATTTTTTTAGGGCCAGCCTCTTCAGAACTGCTGCCCCGTTGGTCCCAGCCTGTCCTCGTGCTCGGGGCTACTCTGTCCTGGGCAGGACTTGGTGTTTGTTCTTACTGAACTCTCCTTAAATCCTAGTTAAAACTTTAAAAGAAAATTGATGCCCCATTTTCCACCTCTTGTTCCCTTGACATTAAGGCAAAGGCACTGTAGTGGAGTGGGATCATGTCCAGGGTCCTTTAGAGCACTTAGAGGATGCCATCTGGATGAGGCAATTCATTGTTATTCCTTTCATGAGTCTCTTTAAAAGCTTTCCTAGCATTGCTTTGTGTTCAATCAGCTCCTCACCTCATCTTTTATAAAAAGAGGTCCCAGCAGGCCTCCTGCTTCTGACGTGCTTCACAAGGTTTTGTCATTCATGTTTTGCCCCCAGTAAATTGCTCCTCAAGATTCTTTTTGGCTTGCTGGAGTGGGATTTTGCATTTCATTTGCTGGAGCCATGCCACCCTTGAGCTCTTGTTGTTTTTAATTTCCTTTTAACAGGCTTCTTCATAGATAATTTTTTTTTTTAAGATGAAATGCTGCTGTAGCAAGTGTTTTGGCTGCTGCAATGGTGCTGCATCCGAGTATGGTGTGGTCCCTGCTAAGGGGCAGTTTGAAGCCAGGGCTAGGTCAAGGGTTCCCTGAACATCACCCTCTGGGTTACTTAGAAACTCTCCCTCTGCATCACGACTGACAGTGCATTTGCTCAGCTAACGAAGACGTAACTCTTATTTCCTTCCCATCACCATCGGGCTCTCTGATTTCACTCATTCACTTTTGCTCTCCTGGACAGATGATCAACCTTATTGATCCTAACTCTATCCTTTTCCCATGCAGGTGAGAGGTTTCTAGGTGCTACCCTGACCTTATTTACCCACCTTGCTTTAAGCTGCCCCTCTGGCAACACCTTTTTTTTTGCCGTACCCATAGTATTCACATGTACCTTATCTGTCTGTTATGGTCAGACAACTTGCTGTACATGTGGAGAAACTACATTGTCATGTGCCTGTCTAAAAAGTAAACTTACTTGGCTGATTTATGACGGTAGGAAGGAAAACACTTCAGCTATCTTTTTTTGCTACTACCCTACAACAGTTATATCCACTTTTTTTCACCTCAGATGACTTGGCCTCACCCATGGCACCCTGACATCGTGGATGTTCAGATTGCTGCCATTGGATCACTGGCAATCATTGCTGTTCCCGGAGAGTTCACGTATGTGTTTCTTTGGTCTTGTTCTATGTATTGCAGCCAGCAGCATTTCATTCAATCCACCTGCGATACTTCTGCCTGCAGGTAGAAAGGGTGTGTAGGCTAAAAAATGTTCCAAATATATGATAGCTGTGCAGGCACTACACATATATGTCCACTGCATGTACTTTCTTGTATACAGTCTCCTCTGGTTACCTGGTGTTTCCCATTTTCTTCTCTGTTCTGTAAACTAGCCATAGGAATGAATGAGATGCAAACAAGCCTCCTAAATAATCTTAACTGTTCATTGCAAAATGCAGTTTCAATGAAACGAAAGGAACTTGTTAACTTCGATTTTTTTTCACACCACAAACACCATAATGATGAATTACACTGACTGTTGATGGTACAATGGTGAAAACCTGAATAGGATAATGATTTATTTCTAGCACCTTTTTCCTACCCCACCCTACCCTGGGGCGCCTCCAGCCTCACCCTGGCTGTGATGATGCACATGAAATGTTTTGAGGTGTTTTGGTTGAGCTCATCACAGAGAAGCCTTAAGAGATGCTGAGCAGCGCTGCAAATGCTATGTGAATTTCTGGTGGTGTGCTGCATGTCCAGCCAGGGATTCTTGCTTTAGCTCCCTGCATTTCTGGAGACTGACATTGTTCCCTTAATGCCCCTAGGACCATGTCTGGACGCAGGCTACGGGAAGCTGTTAAAAGAGTAAGTTACTGAGGAAGAAGTTTCTTCAGAGCGCAGCATATGTGGAACTTCATGTTTCTTGACCCTTCTGGTTTTTCCCTTGTCTCCTCCCACCTGGGTCCACGGGTCTCATGTCTTACAGATGTTTCCTTCTCGCAAATGTTTCAGACACATTTTGCATGTGCTTACTGACATGCAGGAGAAGTGAATATCCTCCCCCAAAGAAGCAAACCAATTGAGTTTCAATTCATTAAGCCAACACAAGCTAATTCAACTGGGATCCAGGCATAACTGATGCTAGCAAGGAGTCTCTGGGGTGGAGGGGTTTAGCTCCTTAATCCCTACCAGGATTTTGCAACATGAGAACAACTGGAAAAAAATGGCAAATGTCTTTTTTTCCATTTTCCTGATTGATCCTATTCTCAGCTGCAGCCTGAATGCTATCTTAATCTCAGACACCATCTCCACAACTCACTGAGCCTATCTCACATAGTTGTATCACCAGTTTTTTTAGGAGAATACAGACATCAGCTTCAAAACAAACCCCTAAATTTATTGAATTTACCAGAGTATGAGGTAATCTCTCCTATTTTTCTTTGGGAAGTGAATACGAGATGTTAACTAAGACAAATTACACTTGTAGGGTTGCATTCCCTGAACATTCAGTCCCCTCCCCACCATAACTTTGTATTCTGTCTGGGTAAAAAAAAAATCCAAACCCCGCCCCCCCCCGCAAAACCCCCACCACCACCACCACCACAACAACACAATCGTTCATTAAGCAGTTGTTAGAAGATAAGTGATTTATTTCCTTTCTTAGGAATTTGATTCTCATGGTACACCAAGAATGGATGTTGTAATTGCAGGTCTGTGCAATGTCTACACCCACTACATTACCACCTATGAAGAATACCAGGTAAATGTTAAAATTGCGGATTGAACATGTTTAACTGAGTTCAGTTATGGCTCTATGGGATGATAATTCATATGAAATTATGAAATTTATGAATGAAGTTTAGAGTACTTCTCCTTTGCCACAAAAAGCAGAAGAATCTGTGGCAGAAATCAGGAGACCTCCACGTTTATTCTGGCCTAGAGGACATTGTCCAAGGGCCAATGTGGTTTCCTGAACATAGCTAGAGAGTACGTATGGATGCTTTAATGTGACATGGGCAGACATACTGAAAGGAGCTCCTGTGAGTTCAGGTCTGGTTTAGTAAACTCCTGATGACTTGGATGAATTAGAAATTATCTTCATAAAGTGGCAAAATTGCCAGAAGAAAGATTCGGAGCTGTAGGGTTGTAAGGTGAGCATGAATTGCAGTGCCATGTTACTGTGGAAAAGACTGCAATATAGCTTGCCAGTTTTAAGGGTCCCCACAAGGCATGGTAGATACTGTGCTTTGAGGAAGATTTGGACTCTTGGATGGACTCCTTGGATTTAGAAACCCTAAACTGAGAGATAGGGTTGGAAGAACTGGGGTTGTCCAACGCAAAAAGTTGGAGAAGAGACGACCTACATCATAAGCCTTTAAAAGAGTAAAAGAGCTGTGATAATTGGAAGAGTGACAACCGGTCCTCCCTGTTTGTGATGGCTTGGAGAATGAAGAGTAACCTGAAATTGCAGCAGGAATACTTAGGCAAGTTGCTGGGCTGTCTCCTTAGCAGTAAGGGAGTAAATAAACCCCCTGCAGATATAGTGCTGATCTTGTCTTGGCACAGTAAGATGAGCTGTAGAAACTGCTCAAGAGTCCTTCAAACCCTCCTTTTCCAAATTTGTCCTTTGCTAGGTTCAACGATATGAGGCTGCATCAACTATTTATGGGCCACACACCCTTTCTGCTTACATTCAACTGTACAGAGGACTCGCAAGGGCTATTGCTACGGTAATCAAAATTTTCTGTATGCCGCATGCTGCCAGAGACATTTAAATCCTGTAAAGCCTGGTTATGGCTGTATTTGTTCCTCAGTGAAGCTGCATGATTGCTACCCTCTCTTTTCTCATAAGAAACTGCTTTGAGGAATTCTCATGTGGTATGAAAATTCCTGTAATGGTGTCTTGTACTACTTGAGAAATTCTGGGTTTTTTTCAGTTCAAAGTTTAGGAAATAGATACCTCCAACCATTCAGCATGGCCTGAAGTTGCTGCTTTTCTACGAAGGGGAAGAAAAATCTGTTACATTTCTGCTGTACAGGGCAATGTTCGTTACCATTGTATCTGTGGACCATGTGAATGTGCAGGACCGGTGGGTGGGCACTGCCTCCTGAAATCGTGGGGTGTTCTGGTGGGTGGATTTGAGGGACATCAGCAACAGGGCAGCGGGTGTCCTGTGGGGATTGCTCCTGCATGCAGAGCACAGATGAAGATCCTCTTGTTTGTTTTTATGCTCACTTTATTGCCCTTGTTCTTGAAATCTATCTAAGCAATGGACTTGGATAAAGAGCCACAGCAGTGATATGAGTCATCACGGAGATATCGGTTATCTATATGTATGTATAATGAGCACATCTTCCCTCTCCCAGAATACAGTTCAGGATTTGCCACGTGGTCCAGAGCCCCCATTTTTCAATATAGGTAACATGACCTTGCTGCCTTCTCTCACTGCCGATCGCGTGCCGGTGAATAAGACTTTTGGGGATGTGCTACAAGAAGTGAGACAACAGTATCGAGCGGTGAGAGCTTCAAGGATTTGCTAAAACCTATTTAGGAAATCATCTTTAAGTTCTTACCCTTCATCCAAAAAAGTCTGTGTTTTCTAAAGAAAGGGTTGTGGTTGCTCTTAGTGGGCATGGTTGAAAAGGCAGAGACAGAGCATTTTCATGCCAATGTCATTGTACTGAATGTGATTAAAATGGGTGAATGAAGGGGAAAATAAAAGCCCTTTATTCAACATGAAGAAGATTTCCCCTTCTGCTTCAACATAAAATAACAGTTGATTATTAAATAGGCAAATATTGTACAGTGATTTCTTTACAAGCAGAAATCAGGTCAACTTTGATGCTTGTAGTATGGAATTTAAATGAAATTAAAATGTCAAAAAGGGTTCAGTTTTCAATGTTCAAAATTTAGATAAGGTGTTCAGAGCAAGGATTTTTGTCTCATTGCTGTCTCCAGCAGTAAGGTAGAAAGAAGGCAGGGAGACATTCTTAAAAATCTCACCTATTTCCCTCCCTCTTTAACACATAAATCTTATGTACTATGGTGGAGTTTATCCAGCAAGCAGGACAAATAGAATGGCAAGGCACAGAATACCAGTTCACAGTCTAAATTGTCCATTGCTATTGCACCAAGTGAAATTATAAATGATTTAAAAGAAAAACAAAAAAAACCCACAAAACCCCAACCAAACCACTAAAAAACCTATATGGCATCTTCAAAGGATATTCTTAATGTGCAATATGCTGCTCAGCCTTTAATTAAATCTCAATTTCCCCCACAGAGAGAAGTTGCTGAAGTAACTTTTGTAGGTGCGAACCCCAGGAACTCTGCAGAGAATGCGGTAAATATGACACAATGACACTGCAATTGGGGATGTTCAGAATTAGTGAATATTTAGTTATTGCCTCTGCCTGATGCATTTTAATCTGTGATGTTCAGGCTTCAGAAGGAGTAAGACTGTGTGCCTCCAGTGCTTTTTTTCTTTGCTGGGAGTTCAGAAGAAGATAGTTTCTCCCTTCACCATGTGCTTTGGGAATTCACACCACCAGAATGCTTTTGGGCAAAGTCCTTAATTTGGTCAGATACAGACCATTCATGATCTCTTCAAACTATTGAAATCAAAGGCACCCATGTCATGCATTAGGCCAGACACTCTTTCTTGGTTGGTATCCAGCACCATCCGGTCATAGAAATCAGGGTCTCTAGTCTCTATCTTATCAGCCTGGTGCATTATTTTAATAAAACAAAAAAAATTAGAGAAGTACTTAATTCATCCCATCACTCATCTTGCATAGGCATTGATAGCAAATACCTCGCCTGTCCGTTCTCTTTTTAATGATCAAGTTCTTTACTCATTCTCTGCATCATTTATTAGCTTAAATTTGTGCTTTGGCAGCGAAATACAAGCATTTTTGCTAGTAATTACCGCATTTCCCACTAAAGCAAACAGAAGCATAGTCCCTTCTCCAGTTTAAAGTGACACAGAAAAAGTAGGGGCATGACTGTCCCTTAAGCATCTGGCTAACTCTGTTATTGTTATTCCAGACTGAACACAACTTCCTGACCGTGGAGAGATACACCAACACTTCAGACAGCTGGCACGTGGTATGGAACGATGCCTCCTGGGTCACCAGGTAGGTGCCCTGACCAGATTTCACTGTTCCACAGCCTCCATGGAGTAATTCGAGTTTAACCTGAAGGGCTTCATTTCAGAGCTCCCAACCATAGATTGGTCTTGCCCCTGCAGATGATGCTCTCTGGGGATGGATCTGTCTATATTTGGGTGGTTGACTTGTCAAGACCGCAACAATCAGTCTTCCCCTTGGGTCTAGCTTCTGCAATGAAGCCTTATAAGTTTGGGAATGGTAGAAGGAAGAGCAAGAATTACAGAAGATTCGCGGTCCAACTTGTTCAGAGCCTACATCCATCCATCTGCCATACTGTGCTGTTGAATAGGATACCAAATAGAAAATATGAGAGGTCCACCTCAGTGGGGTTTTCATAGGGAAAAACTGGCCAGCTTTGCTGTGCATCATAAAGTAGAAACAGTCAACAATTTAAAAAGTTTGCAAGAAAGCAAAGTTAAGGTTAGAAATGTCAGTCTTGAGGAAAAATATCCACTAAGCAGCAAACCTGCTGTCACCTTTCAGAGCTACACCAGAAGTCAGCGCACGGAATACGAATACCAAAGGCATCTTTTATCAAACCATTTGATTTCAAGTTACTCCCCTGTTTGAATAAAACCAGACATTTTCCCACCTGCATCTGCAACCTATCTGTGAGAAATCGGACCTCGAAAAACGCCCCTCTTGGGGTCTTCTGACCTTGCAACGTCCCAGCGCAAACACGTAACGTCCGAGGTCAGAGAGGCAAAGTTCTGGACAGCTTGGCTTCATTGGGAAAGTCTTCCTCTGGTTTATGGTGAGCATTTGATAGGGCATAATTGTCTCTGCCCAAGTGCAACCAGCTGCTCTCTAAACCTAATCTGGCTAGCCAGGACTGCGGCTGTCCCAGGGCAGATGTATTCCTACCTGCACTTGGAGCTCTGCATTTCTAAGAGCTTGCTCTCTGTTTAACGCTTGCACTATGTTACCTTGTCACTCTCACTGATGTCACCCTGTCCAGTCAAGTTCCCTAACTGAGTAAGGTAAATGATGGCATTTTATCACCCGTATATGTAGCCTTGCCTTCTTCCCTCCTCTTCCAAAAACCCAACAGTTTTCCCAAAATCTTGGGCAGGACCACTGAAAATACTTAGTAACATGTTGCTCGAGAAGACAAAAAACATATAAAAGTGCAAAACTTGAAGAAAGTGCTGCCGTGATGCTGGAAAGAAGGGAATCTAGACATCTTATTTTCCTTCCTGAGAAAGGTCAGACTTTGGATCTCCGAATGATTCTTAAATACTTCTGCTGATAAGGAAGAGGAGCTGTTTGGCCTTTTCCTGCCTAAAAGGGCTGGCCAGAAGGCAGACCAATGCAGACAGTAATGTTTCCCTTCCTGGTGCCTCAGGAAAGTACCAAACACCACAAGAAAGGGGAAATGGTTCTGTTAAGGTGAAAATGAGTCAGTTTGTTAACCTTAAAATGTCAGTAATTAAGGCAATGGGGCCAGGGAGCATCAAACTTTTTTCCTAGATATTAGGGGAGTCAGACTGTGGTTTTTTAGTACAGGGAAAACTAAGGTTTGATACCATCGAATGTGCTGACATTGCAATAGGAGAGTAGCACAAGGGAATGCACCGTTTGTTAACTTAGTGTTGCAAAGTGTTAAATAGCTTATAGCTGCATTTGTAAAATGCCTATTTTCAGGCACTGAAAGATATGATGCTTTACCTAAAGGAGGTGCAGCTTTCGGGGAAGGAGATAGCTGTTATCTGCTCTTTATCCTGCGCTCACCACTGCAGCAGGGACGAACTCAGTGCAGACTTGCCCTTCTGCTGGATGCTGTCTTGGTGTTTGCAGTAGAGAAGTGTTTGGTCCCACCCTGCATCTGCCATGGGGGCAGAAATTGCTTTCTTGGGACTGTTTAGGAGGAGGGCCTGAGCTACAGGCAGGAATTTGCCTGGCCCTGCCTTTAGCAAACAGCTAACAGAGATAAGACATGGTTAATCCCCATGAGCTCATCTGTGAGAAGCCTCTTCCCAGGTGGCATCTCAGCTACGTTCCAGTTCCCAAATCCCAGAGGTAGTCCTGGTTCACAGAGCCTGGAGGGCAGGATGGGGAGGAGGCTGGGTGGTGGCATAGATCTGTCACAGCGGCATTTTTAGGTCACAGCATTACAGCCAGGCTCAGGCTGCAGGTCTCTGGTCCAACCCAGCTCCCAACAGGGCCAACATCGCAGCTATAGCAGGTTGCCTGGGGCCATGTCCAGGTGAGTCGGGGTGGTCCCCAAGGATGGAGATTCCCCCACCACTTTGGGCCTTGTGCTGTCACCTCACTGTCATCTCCCAAGACAACATTGTCTTTGTCCCAAGCCAAGCCAGTGCAATCCACCGCCAAAACCTTGGACAAGAGCAACCAAGCGGATACTTGGGCCCTGTGTCAGCCTGTGGTCTCTGTTTACCAAACTAAATTTCCCCATCATTCACTGTTTTTCACCCAGTCATATCTATAAATATTTATTTCAATCTCAGTAAGAGACTGGCATGGGAAAACTTTTTATTACAATTGCCAATGAATCAACGTATTTTGTTCATCTGCCTCCTGTAGTTAAAGCCCTGAAATGGGGGTGCTATCTCAGGAGGGCTTGATAAGTCTCATGTCTGGCCCAGGCACAATTAGGGCGATATCCAACAGTACCCCTCACTGGCGGTATCAAAAGAAGAGCAGGTTAATCTTCTTAATCTCCCCAAGAAGTCCTCCATCATGGCCAGCTGAAAAATCCCTCGCCCCCAGATGATGTGTGGCTGTCTGTAGAGTTCTAAGGTTGAGCAGAAGTCGGTTTGCATAAGGAGTCTGCAAAAGAAAATAGGAATCTGATATGGAAATGGGTGCCAGAATCCCTGAGCTCGATTACGATAGATTTTGCTTGTGACCCTCAATATATTCATCCTCTTGGTTCAGCATTCACTCTGCGCAGGGAAGACTAAGTTGGCAAATATTGCTTGCAGAGGTAATGTTGTATGGTGTTATGATATGGAGCTGGGAATGTAAGAACACGTTGGTAGAAATATTCTTCATCTGCAAAAAGGATCATTGACTTGCTTTTCCATGTTTCCAGATATTTTTCAGGCCTGCCAGGTTTTGGGTTGGCTTGTTGGTTGCTGCTCTGATAATCTAAATATATGAGGAAAGGATAAAAGAAGTTCTTAAACTATACTTAACTGGAGTACATTCATCTCATTCCACTTAGTGAGCTCTTGGGATATTAAAACAAATGAAAAGTGGATTTTCTTGCTGACTGCAGTTTTTGGTTTGTCTGCTAGGTTTTACTGGACCAAAGGATCATTTGGTCGGAGCAACGTGACTATTGAATGGCACATCCCTCGTGACACAGAGCCAGGTGTCTACAGGATACGGTACTTCGGGCACTACAAGAAAAATCTGTCTAAAAATTCCGCTGCCTTTATTGCATTTGAAGGCACATCTTCGGCATTTGAAATCACAGCTCTGTAGGTGATCTCGTTCATTAAAGGAATTGTGCAGTAGATTTGGTATCTGCAATGTTCACAATGCATGCCTGAGAGTTTTTTTGTGGCATACGTGACTCTATACATCATGGCTGTCCCTCAAGTGCTGCTGGTCATCCTTTGCTGTGCAAAGCTTGACTTCCTGCAAAGTTTTGACTTTTACCTGCAATTCAGTCTCACTAGTCCATCGTATTCTCATTCAAGCAGTCCCCATCCTGGCCAGATCTTGCTGCAGTTGATTCTTATTGTAGTAAAAGAGGTAACTGTTTTTCTTTAGTCATTAAACAAGTGCTTATTGATTGTGAATAGGCTCTCTCAGAGAGAATTAGTGCATATTGGGAGCTAATCCAGATCATAAAATAGTCCATAAAATTGAACCAAGTCCATAAAACTGGAAAGAGCTGCTGAATGCACAAGTCATCAGAAGAGAAGACTCCTCAATCATGCTTGAAGTGCAAAGCTGACCTTTTAGGGTGGCAGAGGGATAAATAGGGTAGATACTCATCAGAAAGGTTTGAATATCATTTCATTTAATCATTCTGGTTTAGGGCATTTGGAGGATTCATTCTCTGACTTAAAAGCCACCATAGACTACAGGTGGTGGTGAGGCAACAGTGTCATATGAAGTGAATTGCTCATCGTTCTCCATAAATCAGTGGGCTTGGTTTCACAGGTGCCTGATGAGAGTGGCTGTATGGGGCCCTACGTCAGAGGTGTCGAGTAAGGAAAGGAAGGTCAGACACTCGCAAAATAAAATATTGAAGCTGTTGGCAGTTTTTTCCTGCTAGACTGTATTACTCTCTTTCACAAATGTCACTTTTGAACTGACCAGTGTGCCAGGTGGGCTCAGTGCTGCCCACCATGTGTGAGTTTGCGTCATTTCAAGGGGATGCTGGGCAAGTTTTTGGCAGAGAAGCCCGCTGAAAGCTCTCAAACAATTACAAGTGGCCCAAGAAACTACAGCGGGCTAGAGGCCGCCCAGTCCCTGGAAGGACTACATATGTTTGCTATGATTTTATGACGTGGAGACATTATGCATCTGTGACACGGTCCAGAAGCAGGGTGCTGGGTGAGAAAGACTTTAGGGCTGACTTTGTTCACTCTTGTCCTTGTGTTAAGCTCCTGCCCAGCCCTCTGACTACAGCAAAGGGCAGCAGATGGCATTATATCCTCTAAATATCACTTTGGGACACATCAAAAAGATCAAAAATAAGGATGCTTACATGTCCCAGAGGTTGTTTCAATAGGAGGGTGTCATGGGAGGACACTGGCATTACACCAGGGGCCATATGCAGGATGGGGATTTTAGGAGGGACCTGTTGGTGAGGGAGAACCTGCAGCTGCTAGCAAAAGGTGACTCATGTCTAACCAGAGAAGGGTTGGACTTCATTGTGGTAAGTTTATATTTTGCGTACTGCAGCTGGAAATCGGTAAGAATTGAACTGATGAATTAAAGCTGCGGGTGAGGCAGCTCTGAACAGACTTCAGCCTGCTTCATTTTAGCATCAGGAAGGACACAAGGTGAGCAGGCTCTGGCTGGATGAAGGGCTGCCCAGAGCCAATGGCCAAAGCCTGAATCACCTACAGGTATGTCACCAGGAGGGCTCGTGGTGCCCCTCCAACCCATGTGAAAGATCAGTGGAGGTTTTCATCAAAGCACAGAATGAAGGTACTATTGAAGGGGCAGAAGGACAGTCCCAAAACCCGTTGGCTGAAAGAGTTTCAACACAGAAAGGTTGAGGATCAACCAGGAAGGCAGAGAATCTTCTGGGGGGTTTCAGAAGCTGGCTGGACAAAGCCTCCCACCACTGCTGCCATGGGGTGCCGTAAGCAGGGATGGCTCCGTAGTCCCCAAGTCTCTTCCAACCTCTGTAAGTAGTAGATCCAGAGGCCACAGGGAGAAGAAAAGATGCCTTTCAGATCTGGATTTAGGATTCTCGTAGTGTCTTACAGCTAAACAATTCTAAATGTTTAATAAGCTCCAACAGTGTGTACCAATTTTGTATGCAATCTCTTTAATTCTTCAGAGAATCATCAGTCAGATAATTTTGCCTCTCTTTAAAACCAGTAGGAGAGAATGAATTATTCATTTTAAACCAGCTGCAATCAGTCTCAGAGATCCCCATCCGGAGGAGCTCAAAGCAATCACAATATTGAGTCAGGAAAGGGTGAGCTTTGGAAGAACAACACTGGGAATCAAATCCCTGAAGATGATCTTAATGCCCTTCCCTAATAACTCACCCACCTGGCCTGTCCACCCTGCTCTGGCTAGCAAAATCACTCTGATGGCAGTGGTGGCATCTGTGGGATGAGGGCAGCAGCAGAGGATGCTGCTCCAGCATCCCACTGTGCCATGGGACAGGCTTGGTCAGTGCAGCAGCGCTCAAGTTGCAAAATGATCCAGAAAGTTTCTTGCGAAGTTTTTTGCCACTTTCCTCATGTTTTCATGTGGGACCATGCATGGTGAAACACATTGCAGCCCCTTAAAGGAGGGTCAGATCATCTTTATGAAACACAGGAACTGCTTCGTGGTCTGAAAATGGTGCTGCCTGATGAATCCCGGTATAACAATCATTGTCTCTCTACTTGCCGTTTTCCTTATGTTGTATAAACTAGAATAAATAGCATGGGAGTGCTCCTGTTTTCCTGGAAGAAGTACATTGGGAAAAAGGAAATAGAGGTTCATTTTTTTCTCAGGCAACACTGAGATGTTTTAGTTGATTTTTTCAGATAATTTTGTTTGTATTATTGCATTACACTAACCATGGATTTTTTTAAGTAGTGCTTGTACTGAACATGTTTACACAAACAAAATTGAATTGCCCAGTTAAAATGCTCCTGGGTAAGATTTACCCTCTAAAACATGAGCATCTGACCCCAAAAGTGAGTTTTTAGGGAGCTGGTGTTCCTCGTGGGAGAAGAGGTGTTGAGAGCCAGAATTAGAGTATCTGGAGAGTCCCACCAGTGCCCCAGAGGAGGTCCCCTTGTGAAACACCTTGTAGCAGGCTTATTTATTTATGTCACCAGTGGGCACAGGCTTTTTGAAGTGTTGGGGGAGTTTTTTGGAACTTTTTGTAATTTTTTTGTGTCTAGAAAATTCAGCAGCTCCGAGTGCCTCAGTGTGAGAAAGGCTGTTGAGAGAAGACCTTTGTTTTATTTGCTCTTTAATAGCATTGTGGCTGTCATCTACTGTTGGCATACAGTGACAAACAGCCCTGCCTTCCCTCCTCCTACCTGCATGTCGTTTTGGGGTGCTGTGCTTGAATCCAACAGCCACTAGGTGCCAGTGCCGTTTTACACAAGAACAAGGTTGCTGCTGAACAGAGCCAAAGCCTAGAAAAATTCTTCAGGAATTTGGGCAACTTGCCAGTTGTTAAATATAGCATTACTCATCACAGTTGCTCTTCCTTCTCTCGGGCTGCTCTCCTTCAATGTATAGCCATTTGTGTCTTGCCTACGTGCTCGGGAGGCGAGCAAACCTCCACCTTTTTTTTCTTTTATTGGGACATAAACTAGTATGAACTTGAGAAACTTGTGTCCACAGGCTGAGCCGCCTCACAGAGCTCCTTTGCAAAACTTGACCATGCTGCAACTTTCCTCCTGCACAACATCTTATCCCTCCCGAATTTACCGACAGTATTTGGAGCTGCAGAAGAGATGCTAAATTAGGATCTGACCCAAGGCACTGAGGGGCAAGGAGAGAATCCTTCTACTGTCTCTGGGCTTTGATATAGGCTTTTAGGACCTGTCTGATCCTGTGGTTGTCTGGTGCTGTTTGCATGCATCCCACAAAGGATACTTGTGTGCAACCTACCTACAGGTCCACCAGCAGCTATCTGCTTTTTATCATCTTCACAACTGGGGCTGCGTATGCATGAGGTGGGCCTGGGGACCGGGGAACGTCACTCTCCCAGTGTTTCCATTAAACAGCCCTAAATCTGGACATGCACAGTCCCCATCTCCTGCAGGTAGCCAGAGCCAGGTGAGGACAAGTCTCTGGGCATGGAGAGGAGTTTGAGATGGCAGGGAATCTCCAGGGAGAGAGCAGCCCACCCCAAGCACCGCACAAAGGAGAGGGGTTGGTGGGTAGGGGCTAAGTCCCCCACTAGCACTTAACAAAGGGCAGCTGAGAATTGCCATTTTAGCTGAGACCAAGGTTTTGGGGGGACACAATAATTTCCAGCCCTTGAAAGAAAGGAGCATCCCCTGCGAGTACCATGAGCAGCACCAGGGACAGGCTGACCTCCAGGCGGCTAGTGACCAGCAGTGTTTTGTGGTCCCTGAGTGGAATGTCACCCTTCAAAGGGGTTGTTTGTTTTTGTTTTATTTTTCCCAAAAAAGGGAAATCCAGCTAGGTATGTCATGGGGAGATGAGATGGTCTATGGGAGATTTAGCAGGGCTAGTGGCAAAAGGAAGCCATGCAAGCTCAAAGATAAAGCAACTCCCCTTGAAAGTCACCGGAGACCTTGTCCCATGGACTTCTAAAGGGGGGCTCAGTGGAACATGGGAGAGAGTTTCTGCGTGGAATGTTTCAGGGTCTATCCAGCTCCAAAGGTGGAGTTGTTGTGTAATCCTTAGACATGTTTTATTCTCACCTTGCACCTCAGATGTGAGGCCTGTGCTCTAGAGACCTCCAGGAAAGGGCTGGCTGGAAGAAGGGGGAAGGAAAACGCAGGGTGTTTTACCTCCTGTCCTGCAAGCAGCCAAATGTGTGGCCATCTGCTGATTTTTCTGGGCCATTGATCTCATCATTTACAGCTCCAACATGTCTTGGACTTGTTTGTGGAGGATGGATATGGTTTTTGGCTTTGTCTTGCTATCCACTGGGAACCCACATCTTTACAAATGGTAAATAATGTTTTTTAAGTTGGGTTGTGGGTTTGAGATTTCTTGAAAAATCATTCTTGCTCTCCAAAATTGATCAGCCAGCTGCTGCTGAGCAAAGAGAGAATCTCAGTTCTCGGAGAGGCGAAACTTAAAGCACAAAAGCTAATTCTACCATTGCCCTGGTTTCAAAGAAAACAAAAGCAGGACATCAGGAAAAGCTAATGAGGTAAAATAACAGAGCTGGCAGAGCTGCTGTTCTTGCTAAAGCCCAGAATACAGCTGACCTCTTTGTAAGTCTGTTAGAACAATGTCAAGCTATTTTGGCGAAATCTCTTTTGGCTTAGTAGGGAGGCCTTTGGCTGAGCGCTGTGTGCTATCAGTAGCAAGGTACCAGAACTTCCACATGTTTCTTGGGCTCAGGATTTCTCTGGAAAGGTGCAAACCCAGAACCCTGTGTACTGGGCATGAAAGCAGGAATTGCTATTGCTCAGTCATTTAACTGTGATGATCTTCCAAGTAAGAGGTCCTAATCTTCTTAAAATGACCAGGGCTGTAGCTGATTTATGTATTGGTGACCTGGCAACAGGCTCTTCCCAAGGTGGAACCAATCCTTCACAGCCCTAAATCATGTAGCACTCCATCTAACCCCTTATTTTTGCACGTTGCTCTCTTGCTATTGGTATTGCCCCCGAGACATCAGGTAAGGATCAGGTGAAGAACAAAGGTATTACCACTGTAATAAATTTATAGCAAAAGTGATTCCTGCAGCATTGACAGATGAATAAATATTGGCCAAAGAGGTGGTGGAAAAAAACCCTAACCCCTTGATTTTTTACTTAAAAGTGGAGATGCATAACACCGCTGATTTTCTGCTGCGTATGCATGCCAAGTGTCCCCAAAGTGCATGTTGAAAACCCTCTCATCATTGCTGAGCAGCTTGTGACCTTGCCTGTCTGACCTCAAATCAATCCCTACAGAGCAAAGTGTGCTCTTATTTACCATGCACAGGATGACCTTTTCAGATGAAACTTGGGGTATAAAAGGACTGAGGCATGTATGTTGGTTTAAAAAGTTTTAATGATATTTCGAAGTCCAGTTAATGTCCTTGGATTACTCTAGAATTACAGACTTGCTTCACAGAATTTAATCCCGGTTATAGTTTCCTTGTAACAGATGATTGAGCTGCCATTTTCACTTCATTCTGATTAAACATACATGATTGTCCTCCAATAAATGGATAGTGTGATTCTTCACTACACTTCATAGTGTTAAAACTCTATACAAATATTGTACTACGCGTACAAAAATAAGTGCTTCATGCACACACTTTTAATACTGCTTCTTGCCCTTTTCTTTGACATCTTTCTGAACTTACATAAATAGCTGAAAATGCAGACTAAAGCTACTGAACATGGAAAGAGAGAAACACTTTCTGCCAACAGGAGTCTTTTAGAGTGAGACAGACACGCATGGATATGTTACTCGTTGGCAGTCAAACACGATTTAAAAGACATAGACAGAAGAGAAAATAAAGCCACGATACCCATAACACTCTTGGTTATTTCACCCTCTGTGAACAGGTTTGTTGTTTTCTGCAAAGCTAAGCGTGCTGAACAGCAACTGCAGAGGGCTTGTAATACCTTTAAGATCACCCTAATGAGCTACTTTATAAATAGAAAGGGTCTAATAGGACCACAAACTATACAGTTTATGTGTTTTTGTTCCATTCCTAGTGAAATCGAGTCAGATGAAGTGTCAGAATAGAAAATAGCTCCTGGTAGTCAACACCTTGTCACAGACCATTGTGCCTTGTACAGCTTTGGGGATGGATGGGAAAAGCTCCACTTAAAACGGCTTGTGTGATGCCACATTACGTCACCTAAACCAGATGAAAAATTTGGGGCCAAATCTGTTGGAATTAGTGGGCATCATCAGCCAGCTGGTAAATTCTCTCCCCCAAAAGGGTTTTTTTTGGTCCTAGACTGAGCAGATTCAAATTTTCTTAGTGTGCATATACAAGGTTCCCTGTATATAATTTTATTCCTGTAGAGGTGTCTGTTATTACTGGGCCACTGCTGTGAGCTCTTTTGCTCTAATTAAGTAGAGAACTAGCCCTAATGAAGAGCACTTTTCTAGTCAACCTTAATAGTCCTAAAAGTTTTCCTATCTTTCACTGAAGGTGCCATTTGATGGGAGGTTGCTAAAAATACGCTGTTATTTGCTGTTTTGTGACTTGTAGGTATGTCTGAGAAGTAGCAAAGTTAAGAGGGAAAACTGCTGAATGCTTGCCTCCTGCTTTAAAAATCAAATTAGTGCTCAAGAGCATGCAAACTAGCCTGTTAGGCTGGGTGGACATGTTTATGATAAATGTCTTTTTTCTTTGGCTGTGCCAGAATGAATTTAGAAGTTGCTTGAGATGCCTGAACACATCCCCACAGCACTGGAGGCTGTAAGAGGCAAACTGGAGACCTCCGTGGGGCAAAAGGACAACCTTTCATTTTATCCACTGCTCTGCCTGGCTTGAGAAATTTGGGGGTGAACGGAGGAGAACTCCTGATGCACAGAGGGGCTTGCTGGAGACACCCCAGCCTTCCCCAGTCCCATGTCACAATGTCCACAGGACCAACCGTTTTCAGCACAGGTTGTTGCTTGTAAACACACAACAGTGTGTATGTATATATACACATATATATACATAAATGTACGTATATATACACACCTGAGAACCATTCATTTTCTGGGCTGAGATTTTGCTTTCTAGTGCGAAAATCTGATTTTGAGTGATTTTTTTAAATTTTATTTCTCCTTTCCCCCCCAATATTCTGTTATGAAACTAAAGAACTACAAGAATGAAACTCCGACTAAAAATCTAACTTTAGGCGACAGATTAGTTTAAAATCATGAGGGTGTAAGAATTACCAGACTGAGATTTTTTTTTTTTTCCTGCCTGTGCTCAATTTAAGGGAACTCGATTAAAGACAGGATTAATATGCTCCGTAGCCATCACTGCGTGCAGCGACTGCGAAGGCCGGGTAGGCTTCGTAGGCTGCGTACGTTGCTAAATCTTGCCCCATAGTCACCGCTTGCTTGAGCTGAGTGGCTGTGACGGTCGCAGCTGCGTTAGCAATGGTATATCCTGCAGGAGAAAAGAGGGAAAAAAATGCAGATTAATGAAAAGACATTCAAAACTCACCAGTGCCTGATAGTTTTTGATGGGAAGACTTTGCTGTCGATGGGAATGACGTAGGGAGTAATGAGTTTGTTAATGGGAATAATTTAATTAAATTAAATAGGTCATTTCTGGCATGTTTTTTCTCCATGTTAAAGGTAATAAAAAAAGCTGGAAAATTAATGCATTTTCTCACCCATTACTTGTTTAACACGCTGCTTGAAAAATGCCCCTCTCTGTTAAATATTTTTTCCTTATGCTTTGATTATTTCTGAGCTAAGAGGATGTTAATAGTGCTCTGTACACATCCTCCCACACATGACATGAGGAGGGCAAGAAAATGAAGTAATATAGGGGAAATCTGGGCAGGTTTCATAGGGAAAATATGGCTCTGATACCCTTCACAGTCAAAATAGATGCAATTCAGGACAGCCACACTAGAGAGGAGGGGAAGTCCCTCTATGCAATATCAGGGAGAAAATATTTAGTAAACTGGAATTTTTTTCCCATCAGATTCTAATGGAAAATGTGGTTTCAACACTTTAAATTTTCCATGGGAAAATGTTAGCTTTGCTGAATCACTGGGAAAACAAACATCGTTTGGGGCTCATTTGCCTGAAAGCAGGGTATAGCAGCTTGTCAACCAGACCACAATATTTTGCTGTGAAAGAATTAAGAATTAAGACAAAGCCCAAATTTGGGAATAGCAGCTGGGATGCCCATTGGCTCTGCTCGACCAGGCTCTGCTGCCAGACTAGATCTCCCAGGGTCCAAAATCTCCAAACAACTAGCTGGGCAATGGGATCAAATCAAGGTCAGTCAGAGCCGAGGTCCTCTCAGTGGGGGGAGTAGAGATATTGGGCAAGACTGAGAGCACATTGCCTCGTTGAAGGTGTTACCTTAGGGAAAAACATGAAAAATTCACTATAATTTGAGTATTGTGGCCACTCAAAGTATCTTCCTTGCATCAGCAAAGTGAGGTGTAACTTTTCAACTAGGAATTGGGAAATCTGACATTTAAAACATATCTGCCACCATCATAAGAGAAATGAGCTGCTACCTGGGCATGGCCTGAGCTGAGCTGGGCTGGGCTTCAGCAAGCCCTGATCAAGGACTGGTGTGTGTTGCAAGCAGAAACTTTAATGTATGTCAATTTGTTGAGTTTCCAAGACAAATAAATAAGGGTGGATGAAAGAAAAAGGAGAGATTATAATTAAGCAGTAAGTGGAGACTGGATTCAATAAAGAGCCCATTTGGTTTCCACGCTGCGGAAGCCTGCACAAACCCAGACAAATTGATTTTTCTGTGGCTTTTGCGGACTCCTGTGGCAGGAAGCCGGATGGGTTTTTTTTTTTTTTTTTTTTTTTTTAAATCCATCCTTGAGACACTCCAAACAACTCAGTAGTACTGACTAATGCATTCCTCATGTGCAGTTTGGCATGTGTTGCTCCCACTACATCAGAAAACCCGTCATGCTGGAGAGCACAGTAAATGTAATGCCTGCAAGCTGGATTCCTGCTCCCAGCCTGTGTTTTCCATGACTTGCCAAGCTGTTTTGGGCAGTTGCAAGAGCTGTTGAGTATGAATTCCCAAACTGGAAAAAAACCTTCCAGTGGGGGTGTGAGAGTTGGGATCAGATCCTAACTTTCACAGTTGCGCCATTTCTTTGACAGATGAAATCAAAAGTGTTGGTTCAAAGAGGAGCTGGGGGTGCTGGGGGAGGACGTGTGGACCGTGAATCAATCAACCGTTCATCTTGGTGGGGAGGAAGATCTACTCCATCCTGGGTGGCATTAGCCAGGCTGCAGCCAGCAGATCCAGGGAGGGGACTCATCCCAGATGTGACAGTGGGGACTCCATTTCGGGATCCTGCCTCCTATCTGGGGCTCCCAGTTGAAGGGAGGCATCCACAGACTGGAAGGAGTGGAGTGGAGGTGCGTACTTGGGATGGGGCCCTGAGCAGCGGGGGATCCCCATCCTTGGACGCTGCCCCAAGCAACCTGCGGTATCTGCGGCATTGACCCTACTGGGAGCAGGGTCGGACCAGAGACCCCCTACCCTGGTGCCTCCAGCCTGAGTTGCTCTATGGTGTGTAGACTGTAATTGGGGTAGTCCTGATACAGAGATAAATTACTATATAGTCATTAAAGGTATCATACACATAAGTAACATAAGTCAATGTAGAGGCGTGGGGGGAGCACAGCCAGGTCTGTCCTCAGTGGCCAAAAACGGGTTCATTCTTGACATCCACAAGAAAGCAGCAGGAAGAAGAATATTCCAGAAGACCTTTGCTGTACAGACCTTCCCATACCTGGAAAAGCTGGCGCTGCAGGAGCCACCTCTGCTCCCTCCATGGGAATCCCCAGCGTCTGAAGGGTGTATTCTGCTGCGTAGGTTTTGGCTTCATCAATATAGGCAGTGAGCTTGGGTGGTGTGAAGGGATGTCTGTGAGTACAGCAAAATGTTAGCTTGTTTTTTTTTCTCTAGGACTTTCCTGCAAGATGTTTTGATCCACTCATGGATGGCATCATCCCACATATCAAATGGAAACACTGTTTTACTATGCTGATGCATTAACAAAAGTAGTCTCCTCGTAATAATCTGGTTTGTTTGCTGAGTTTATCAGCCCCGGGTCTCATTTTGGACACAGCATCCTTTCAGAGCATGTTGTGCATTTTCAGTCCAAAAGAAAGCCTGCTGCAGTCTGGGTTTTTCTTTAAAATACACAGCAAACAATGTTTTAGGTCAGAAATGTTTAGAACCATATTTGGAGCTGAATTATTAGCATGTTTCTTCAAGCTGCTTTCTTTTTGCCACAAGAGCTGTCGTATGCTTTATTTTTGTGCTGAAAACCACCCTTTTGCCTGATTATTTCTGGCTTTCTGTAATCTTTGCACCACCAGAGAGAGAGCGCCAAGTGTGGCAGACATCACTATCAGTCTATTGTAGTTTGTGGATATTTTTCTCCCTAATATATATAAAGGAAATAGAGACCTGTGCAATTGTATTTTGAGGAGAGACGCTAGATAAAATACCATTTAAAAAAAAAAATCCAAACCCCCAGAAAACCTCGAATAGTTACATACATGGTGGGGTTCTGGCTGGCGAGGGCAGGGATGGTGATTTTGTATAGGAAGAGCTGTCTTTGGTCTTGGCCAATTGCAGAGTGGAGCTGGTAAACAGGCTGTCCCCAGTTGTTTTTCTGGCAGATTTCTTCTAAGATCTGGAAGGCAGAAAAGGGATTTTTGCTTGGGTTAATTGGTGTGCGGTGGCCTTCTCACCCAGCTCCAGCCCCTGCACTTGGTTTTCAGGGGTGTCGTGGCAGCTTTCTCAAGGCTTAGCCAAAAAATAAAAAAAAAAGGCAGACAGGATACTACATTCACCTTGAAGTATAAGATTCATCTATATGTTTTATACTTTAAAAATCCATTTAGTTCCTGAAGTTAATTATTACCCCATTAAATCAGACATCTTTGTCCTTTTGCTGATTAGCTGTTTTATTCTGTTATCGGTGTGGATTTCTTTCAATTCTCCCCAGACACTCTATCTATGCACTTTTCTTTAACAGTGCTAAAACACTAGGGTTGCATTCATCTTCACTGCTCTGTTGCCTCCCTGGCTTAGTGGGTTACAGTGCATGAAAAGTCCAAATCTTCTTTAAAAAAAAAAAAAAAAAGAAAGAAGAAAAAAGGCTGTGTCTCCATCCAATTAATTATACAGGCTTCAATAGGCGATTTCTGTTTCTAGTTTGAAAGAGAAATGCTGAACCATGTTGCCCCCAGTCTTAGCACAGCTTATTCCATGGTAATTGGGAATCGCTGTCCGGAAACACTCTTGCTTTGGCTTTGTATTTCTTTTTTTAAGGGGAAAAAAAAAATACCACTGGGTATGTGCTGTCCCAAATGGGTTTGAACACAGCATGGTGTGCCCGTGTCTCCCTGTGAGTGGTGCTCAGACCAGTTATGTCTTTCAAGTAGCTCCACCAGCCCTGACACTCAGCTGAGAAGATGTTGTTGAGTCTTGGGGCTTTGTAACGTTGGCCATGCTGCCAGCTGGGTCGGACTGGAGACCCTGGGTGCCTCCAACCTGTGTCTTTCTGTGGTCTACCTTATTTAAAATTTGCACTTAATTTTATTTAAAATTAAAGTGTAAATTTTAAAAGTCACTACTGCTTTTAATTTTGTAATCGTAACTGCAACTGAAGTTTAGCACTTTGTTGTGTAAATAAACTAGTTTGTTGCATTTCTTGACTATGGCAACTGCTGTCCCAATGCCTTTATATGAATGTTGGTTTTATAATCTTACATGAACATTTAAATCCTCAATAAGGCAGACCTGCTTATTAACACTGAGAATGTCAGCTAGGCAGTGGGAACGAAATCCATCATTCAAAGATGCTGTTGAAAAGGTCTCAGTGCAGTGGATGGGAGCAGCTGACCAAGTTGATGGGTATTAATGAGGCTGTCCTATTAATGAGGCTGTTGTGAAGCAAGATGTAGCTCTTTAAGACCTGCTGTTGTGAAATAGTAGCAGTGGGGGGATTAGGGAGCTCAGCTGCCGGGAAAATGTGCCCCAAAACCTAGTGTTGCAAGTGCCTGGTGCTGTTACTGCACTATTTGAAATACACGGGCGTTTGGCATGGCTGGGAAGAGGAAAAAATGAATTTTACCTGCCCTAAGGCAGTGCAGCACTGCGCAGGCTATTTCACCCCTCTTATATGCTGATAAAATAGAGTAAGGGGACTGTGAAATTTTGCTGGGGGGAAAAAAACTCACTTCGCAGTTTTCTGGGAGAGAAAAGGATGTTTTCAAAGACTTCAGCAAACTGGATGCTGTGGCAATTGAAAAGTTAATAGGCAAGGATGTGCTTCAAAATTCAGGGTTAAGTTAGTTTCTCATGTTGCTTTGGATAATATAAGGGGAAAGGAGTTGCCATAAGAGCCGGACCTTCAGAAACTCAGGGAATTTGTTCTGGGTTTGTTCTCCTCAGCCCTCATCCATCCATCTGGATCCCAGTCCTGCACACACAACCACATCAAAAGCCTCCTTGAGCAACCAGAGTTTCTGCGCTGGGCTGGGTTGTGCAGGCGGTCAACACCTCTTTTCACATAAATGATTTTAAAATGTACATTATTTCTTTATATATGTGCATTTGTTCCTTGGTGAAGCTCCAAGTGATGCATCCTGTTTATCAAACCCATTTTGGGTGAGAATTTCTTTACCCTCAGTGCTTTTAGGAAGCGACAGCCATAGCTGGATTTCTTACACTCGGGCGTGTTTATGAAAACTCTCCTCCAAGGGAGAGTGGACGCCGCGCTCCAGTGAGGCGGGTACGTATTGCAAGATGCAGCTAGTGGTATTTTATTTTTTTAATGTCTTTTGAGATGCAAGAATGGATTTAGTTATCAGTTCCCAGTGCAAATTCAAGCAGGGGGGCATTTTCCCAAAAGCATTTTGGGCAAAGACCACCTCTGGCCGGGATATTGACTCTTTTTTCATGCACATACCTGAGGAGCGAGTTTGATCCCTTGGGGCTTTAGTGTGACGTGGTTCATCGGTGTGAGCTCCATTCCTGGCAAGAGGTCGTAGAGTTTATCATCTCCCCTCTTTTCTCCTTTGAGCTGGTATCCGCGCCCCAGGCCCGTGTATGCCAGGTAGCCACGACCTCCCAGTCCTCTAACTCCCGCAGCCCCTACAGGTACATTCATGTAAATTTCTAGGAATGTAAGAAGGCATTAAACTGAATCAAATCACCGGAAAAATTACCCTGATTCTTGCTGAAATGGAAAAGTTAGCCCCACTTGCCGGGTTTGGGAAGAAGATGGGCAGAAGGCCCCCATAACCTGCTGCTGGGATAACCCAGGCTTCACACTGACACTCTTGCTTTTTGGGCTCGTATGCTTGGACAGGTGAGTTTTTTCAGGATAGGGGGGAGCCTTGCTTCTTTCTGACCCAGTTTTCATCTCCTCTGGACAGTTTTGATTTCAGTGACGCACAGTGACACCTTTCTACCCAGATTTGTAGTTGAAAGGCAGAGAGGGGACAGCTGATATCACTTGCTACACACTAGTGTAATTTCACTTTCTTGAAGAATTCAGAGTTTATACAATCCCTTGCTTATATAAACCAAAATCCTTTTTTTTTTTTCCTCCATTTCACTTCCATTTTTCCTTGGGGAGCCCTACTTGGGTGTCTGGGGAGACTGTAAGGCAAGAGAGGGCTGGTGGGTTATCACATCTGCACCTTTCCCAATGCAACCTTCATAGAAGCGGGTTTCACCTGTGCAGGCAAAAACATAGGGGTGCAGCAAGGGAAATTCCTGTTCCCCTGTCCCGTTCCTTGCGAAGGGGGAAAAATTGGCTGGCATAGTCCTTGCCAGCCCTATTGGGGTGCTACACGAGGTCTCAGCCTGCTGTGGGACCTGGTCACTGGCTTGGGGACACAAGCTGAATGCCACAGGCTTCATCTTTGGAAGGAAGATCTAATGGGCAGGTTTGGTTTTGGGGTTTTTTTTGCTAGCCCCCAAAGCTTACTTCTGCACTTACCAAACGATATCTGCAATGATATTTAATTTGGGGGTACCTGAGTGTGGGATTTGATTTTATCCCAGGTGCAGTCACCTGAGATCAAAGGCAGAGCCCCAGCAGCTTTCAGAAATACTCCGTGTTTTCATAAACTGCTTATTATTAGGTTAATGATTCCCCCCAAAAAGGAGTCCATCTCCCAGAGCACACAGTTAACAGCTTGCTTGATTTCAGTGCTGGTTCTCTACCCTGCATCAGGGCAACGTGACCTCCTTGGGAAACTCCGCGGCTTTGGGTCAGAAAACACCAGGACTGGTAAAACTTTCCCCGTGACCTTCAAAGCAAAGAGGAAACACTGCAGAGAGCTGTGCTGGTGGCTGACTGAGGGAGTTGGCTTTGAAGTGGGGAAAGGAAAATTGTTTTATTTGGTCTTCCTTACTGGGGCAAAACCAGGAGGATTCATGGTTTATTGACACTGGACGAAGGGCAATCTGGAAGCTCTTTCAGGCTTGCTCTGGGAAAATGGTTATTTTTTTCATGCCCTGCTTAGTCTGCTGGAAGATCACTGCGCTTTTGGGAAGGACAGAACCTAAAATCCTGTGTTTTCCATCCCTGACTGAAAGAGGTCCAGCATCCAGGGAAAAGCCAACACCCTCAGCATGAGCCTAGGGAGCAGCCACCCAAGCCCTGGAGGAGATATTTTGCTAGAGCTGAAGATTGGCGTGACGGGCGTTACCTCGGATGGATGGGGGCCGGATGATGCTCCTGTTGCTGAGCCCCTTCGTGGCAGGGAAGTGGAGGTTGGGGATAGCCGTGTAGGCTTGGGGTGCATAGAAAACTGGGGCGCCCAGGTAGGCGGTGGCGGGGTCGTACACATGTCCGAAGGCGTAGGTGTATTCTCCTTGCAGCATGGTACCTCTGCCACCTGTGCCCCGGGTGTATCTGACGTAGTTGTCTTTGTCAACGGGTTTGGCTAACGTCACCTCGATTGGGGACCCATCCAGCACCTTCATGCCCGGGTGGTGGGGAGAGAGCATGGGAGAAGCACAAGTGTAAGTATCCAAAGTACACGGGGATTATCCTGCCTAAGGACGCCTGCATGGTTTGCTAATGCGATGTGAAGAGGCAGAAAACCACCCAAAAAAACCAAAATTCCCTCCCACAGGTGGAAGCAGGCACTGGTTGGGTGAAGGTTTAACGCATTGACAGCACCCAGCCCTGACCCCAGCCAGGAGAGGCTCCTTAACTGAATTAGCACAGTTGTGAAGCCTTCAAAAGGCTTCACTTCCCTTGCAAAGTAGCATGTAAGTCAGCGAGATTATATGTGCTCCTATGGAGAACAGCAGTAGCACTAAAAATAGGAGTGGGGTTAACACCTCTTTGGGAACAGCTCTTGCATTACGGTTGCGTGAATTACATGCAGTGCAAGAAGTACTAAATACAGCAACCTCCTTGCAAATCCGCATCTGAATTTGGAGCAGATGTTTTGGGTTGACCTTGTTTGTCCCGGTTTGCCATTCACACACTGTCCTGTGAGTGTTTTTGTTGGCAGACCTGGAACAAGGATGTGAGCGTGAGCCAAGGGAACCCGTAACCCCTCGTTTGCTAGTCCTTGTTTTGGCTTTACTCTGCTTTTTTTTTTCTGAGCAGTGAACTGCAGTCTGAGCTGGGCAAACATTTAGCAAAAATGTGAGGAGCAAGAAGCCAAACTGAACAGTTTGTGTACACCAGAGCTGCTGAAAAATGAATTCAGGAGTATAAAAGCAGCCTGCAAAGAGAACTTAGGGCTAACACCTTCAGGAAGTTTTTGTAACTAATAAACCAGGCAGCTTTGTTTCAGCTGTGTATAATATACTGCGCATAAGCCCCACGAATTAGCATTTACAGCAGCTTTACCTTCCCATTCAAGGCTTTCATAGCTTCCACCGCATATTCTCTTTTATTAAAGTGCACAAAGGCGTAGTCTCTAATTTTCTTTACTCTCTCTACCGCACCTGCAGAAAACGTTGGAATATTAGTTGGAAATGGGTATTAGTTGGAAAATACAGATCTGAAAGAGCAACTGTGTTGGGTTATGAGCCCTTGGAGAGCAAGGGCTGACCAGTGCCTTCTTACCTCTTAGGGTGTATATGCCATGGGAAAGTAAATATATAATGGTTGTAGTATTTCAAGGCAAACTAGAAGTATTTGGGGCCAGGCACTAGTAAGTTTCCCATTATACTGGAGTGGTTTTCTCCTGTCCAAAAGGTTCTGTTGGACACTTCCTTTGGTCTTGTGTCTCCCTTCTGTGACAGACCACCAAGACCGGGTGGCTGAACAGGACATGCAACAGCCCAGGATTTGGTGAGCTACAGGTTGATGTCACCATGTGATCGCCATCTCCATGGTTTCGTACATGCGTCGTACACATTACTCAGACGCAGCTTCAGGAGGCTCTTCTCTTAACCATTGACTCAGGATGTTGACCAAGAACAAGCACCTAGTCCTGTCAAGGACAGAGCAGTCCCGAGCATGGGGATGGCCTGGGACCGAGGGGGCAGCAGGTCTGTCCCTAAGAAACAGCCTTTCCCATGTGAGTCGGGGCAGCCCTGGGACAGGGCCCAAGGTGGTGAGGGATCCCCATCCCCAGGGATGCCCCAATTCACCCGGACACAGCCCCAGTCAGCCTTCTGCAGCACTGGCCCTGCTGGGAGCAGGGTTGGGCTAGAGACTCCCACCTTGATGCCCCCAGCCTGAGTCTTTCTTACACCTCTGTGATTACCCAAAATAATTCAGATGTAAATGGCTTCTTGTTCTTCTCTTTATGTCCCTCCTCTACAGCTTTCCCTTTCCCTTGTTAGCTGCTCTGCTGCCGGGAACTTCTTGGCACTGAGATACTCAGGACTAAGAAGTTTGTCTCCAAAATAACCACACCGGTCCTATTCCCCACAGTCACAAGCTTTAGACATATGCCTTTTCTTCTCTAATTGTTCATCTTCCCCTCTCCTGTGGGTTGGGAAGCACAGTTGTCAAGCAGCCCAGCCACTGAAACTATAACACCCCTAAACATATCCTTTGGAAATATGGCTAAGGGATGCTGAATGACTCTTCTGTTGACTTCTTACCCTTTAAAGCTGAACAGGTGCACAGGGAAATGTCATATTGCCACAGAAAAAGCACTTACTTAAATTACTGCAGGAGAAAATATATTTCTTAGGAGTTCAGGGAGAGTCATTAGGAGCTCCAGCAGGCTAAGTGAGGTCTCTCCCAGCCTATAACCTGAGCAGCCTGCACATCTTCACAATGACACCGGAATGGTAAGTAGCACTTCGTGTCCTTCTGGGATCAGAGGGTGATTTTCCAAGCCTGAAGTTATGGGAGTTATATGCTGACACCTTGTTTACAAATCACGGCTTTAATGAACTCTGTATGTTTTGAAAATCCCCTTTCCTCCTCCTGGAGAGCATTCTGTGTTACTGATCCTTGTCTGGACCAAAAATTGTGCTCTTCCCTGCTTCTGCCTCTGCTGAGGCAAAGCAATGTGATAACCACCCTCGGGTCATCTCCACAGAGAGACCGTTCGTGTGATGTTACAGGGGGGATATTGTCCCTTCAGTACATTTGGGAACCATGACCTTACTGCTGGAAACTTTGCCAGGGATGAGGATTTTTGCCAAAATCAAGGGCAGGGCTTTTCAGTGAGACAAGTGATGCATATCTCTATAGAATTCATCAGGCACAGAATTTGGCACAGATTTAAGGGGTGATACCTGTACTATATTGCAACTTGAGATGCATAAGCAGCATTCCTGGTAGTGTCTATGGAGCCCGTAGCGATGTGGTAATTGCTCTGTCATGGGGATCGTAACTCCTTTGGTTAGGAACATTTTTTTATTGGGTGACTTGTTACTGTCAAAACAGCTTCTTAATGCTCTGGATCAAATGTACACTTCAGGCAAGCAGTACTGAAATGTGGCACAATGAATAAGGCAGATAACCAAGGCGGGGAAGTGAATCATTTCAGACTCTTGCTGAGTGTTTGATTGTAATCTCACTATAACTTAAACTGCATTTACTCTCCCCAAAGCTCAGGTTTTGCTGCTTTGATGCACACTTTTTTGAAAGCATGGCATTGCTTTAAAAAAGGCACTCCTGATTTTATCCACAATAAATAAAGCTGTCAATTTAAAAAAAATAAAAAGAATTTCCAGCATAAGAAGTAAAAAGATAAAGTGATGAAAGGAAAATTAAAGACAATAGAGATCTTCTATTGTTGTACTAGAAAACTTGTCTTAGCAGCAAAGCAGATGGCTATTACCAAAGTGTTAGATGGGCATAAATGTGCTTCTGGGGAGTGCGAACAGTTCAACATTCAGGAGCAAAACTGGGTAAATAAAGGAGGAAAAGGTTAAGAGAGTGGGATGGTACATATTTAATTCATGGGTAAAATGGGATCTCTAACAGCTTGATGGTGGCTAGAAGTATTAGCCAGAAACATTAAAAGGACAGAAAAGACTCATAAAGAAACCTCATAAAGACCTTTGCATTGCAGCCTAGTACAAAAAGAGAAATGTATAGAGCAGAAATGAAAAGTTAGTGCAGGAAAAATTAAGGTCTGTAGTGTATTTTACAAAATTAATAGAAGGAAGTTAATAGGAATGAGATGAAAGGCGATTTCACATTGCCAAGCATAAGTTACTAATGCCTAATGGACTGTGTGGCTTGGAGAGCTGCAGAAATGGGTTATTTTTACTTTGTTGTTTTGGGGTGGAATTTCCTAAAGCTGGAGCAACTCAGAAGTAAAATCTCCTTTGAAAGCCAGCAGGATTTTTATTCCCAACAAATCTACTTGCTTTTTGAAAAAATCTCACCTAAGTGTGTGTAATATATGCCACAAAGAAATGCTGTCATATTCTGTGTTAAATGATAAGCACCGATTATTCACAAATTTACAGAAGAATGTGGGGGGTTTTGTATGAAAATGATAGAATTCAGAATTCAGATAGATTAGATAAAAAGCCTTTTTATTAAATCACTCTATTTCTGTCATCATCCTTTGCCATAGAAGAAGAATGCTGAAATTACCCAGCTGTTTCACCAACTGGCTCTTTTTAAGAAAGACTGAAATGATTCAAAATAATTTTTATGACACGGGCATCCCCATGCAGCATTTTGGATCTCTTCCAGTTGCCAATCATTCTAAAAAGGTTAGTATTGTTGTTAGCTGGAAATTAAGCAGCCCTTAATGGGATGGCACGATGTGCATGTTGGGTGGGAGCCTTCAGCCTAATGATGATTATTGTGGCATTACACATGAACATTTTACAGCGGAAAACCAGTTATTTTTATCTCTTTGACATTTTATGAATGGAGAAATATTTCCATTTGCAGTAGCAGTACTTCTTTAGGAGCTACCATGTCAATGGGTTCCTACCTGGTTTGATGCTGTTGAACTCCTTTTCTATGGTCTCTTCAGTGGTCGAGAGCATGAGGTTCCTCACGTAGAGAATTTTTACCGATGACATGGTGTCTTCGTCCACCTCCACTTCTGGTTCTGCCCAGTCAACGGCTATAGGGTGTCCCCACAGCTGGATCCTTCCTTTAAAGGATTTGGCGTGGTCAGTGTCAGACAGGCTTTGGTTCCTCTCAGTTCTGCTCAGAGACTATTTCACATGCATAATGAACAGCAGAACAGGCCAATTCTACAAAAGGGACCAAAAGAAGCCTTTCTAGCTCAAAGCACAGCTGCTTTGTTAATTCATTTCCAAAAGCAGATGGTCACACTTTGAGCATGCTCCCGCTAATACCTTAGATGCCTGCAGAAATGTAGCGTCCAAAATTAAAGAAGTGAAAATATGGCATGATTCACTAACAGTCTGCGTTCCCTGGAGTGCTCTCTAAAGGGAAATATTTTAATGAACTTCTAAAAATCCCTCTTGGCTGAGAAAGTTTCATTCCCTAGATAATAGGAAAGGGATCCAGAAGTCCCAGCTGGATGAAATGAAGGAGTAAAAGCGAGGATGCCTCTGTGTGCAAGTATTTGAAGTCCTATGGTCCCTGCTGGGTGAAGTTGCAACAGAAGTAGCAGAAAAGAGGGACGCAAAAAGTAACGAGGCACAAAACCGGGTGTGGGTGTCTGCTGCTGAGGGGCAGAGAATAAAAAGAGCAAATAAAGAGGTAGTTAAAGGTGATGTTGTCACCATGTTATCACACTGAGGTCCATAAGCATTTGCATTGAGTCACCTAATCTGTTAAGTAATTGATTAGTCAATTAGTGATGTTTAATATGTAATGAAAACTGACTGCCACAGACTTGTCTCAAAGCTGTGGGAATCAGTGACAAGCAGCAGGACACCAGGTAAGGAAGAGAGACCTCTACATAGTGATGGTTTTTTCACCTCCTGTCTTCTCCAGACAGCAATGATACCTCTTTCCTCCTCTTTTTATTCCCCGTCCCTTCTGCACATCTTGCAAGGAGATCTTCCTCCCTTTACTCTTCAGGAGTGGTTGAAATCTGGCCACCCACTAATATCCAGAGCCCCAAATTTCATGTGGTCTACCTGTGGCCCACTTTTCCTCTGGCAATTTTAATCAGCCCAGCAACTAGCTCTTTGGATGTACAGTAGGGACCATTTTCTGTCTTTGCAGCATGGTAAGTGCTAGATATTCCTTCCAAATAATGAAATAAAATGTCTGCCTCTTCTGCAAATGTCCCCCGAAGAGTGAGTCTTTCTGTGTTTTTTCTTTCTTTCTCTCTCATCTTTATGACATGAAGATTGGGTCCTCCCAGGCCTTAATTGTGCTAAAACCTGGAAGAAACATGAGGATGCCTATGCTGGTAGAGGGAAAATGAGAATCCTGCAAAATATTTTTGGAGAGATCTAAAAAAAGGCATTCTATCTCACATCTCCACTTGGATAACCTGTCTAAGATGGGATAGGAGCTCCAAAATAGAGAAAATTAGAGGGAGAGGGTAGAATTTGGAGACCTGTTTTTCTTACTGGAAGTGAAAATTAACAAACTAAAGGGAAAGAGGCTGCTTCCTGCTAGGAAGGCTCATGAATGAGCTGGGATTTGTGGAGCAAGGTTGGGCTGATGTTCAGGTTTCAGCACTGCCCAATCTGACTCGGGCTGTTAGTGACCAGAAATAGAGAGATGACTGCTAATGGTAGCCAGTTGAAATGAAAGGCCGTATGGCCCTTTCTGAATTGCCATTTTCTGTTCAATAGTGGAAATAATGACCTGGCTGACTTGCAGCAAGGAGCTAAGCTTGGTGCCCGCACTAGCCTCTTGCTAAAACCCAGTCTTCCTCCACCCTTTTGTTTAACCAGGAAGCAATTTTCATAAAAAGCTTCTTCCTTTTTGAGCATTTCTGTCTCTTCTACAAAGCTCCCTCAAAGAACAGCGAGGTTCAGAGTAAAGGCAATGTCTTGATAATGATATTCAATCTCACATTCATCCAATGCATCAGCTGGAGACACATTCAGTTCTGGTTTGAAACTTTTTTCAAGTTCCTCCCGTATGTTTGCAACATCAGAAGACTGGCTCCTGCGTACGCCTTTGAAATTCCCCAAACTGTTTATCGAGATGTCCCCAAATTGGAAATCACTAGTGCGTTGCACATGTCTGTTCAGGACTATGTGCTTGCTCCATCTGTCTCGCTGTCTTTCCTCAGGATTTCAAGTGCTCTGCTCCCTCAAGGCTGCCATCAGCAGCTGTGGCTGTGCCTGCTCCTTCCTCCATTCTCGATATAGAAACCATGGAAAAGTTGTGCTGAAGCACAGACCAGCTGAATGTGCTCCCAGAATCAGGGAGATGCTAAACTGATGCAGAAGATGCAGAATAAAAGGAAAAATAGTCAGTGTGTGATATCCCACAATAGCTAAGCCTATTCAGCGCTCGAAATCATGCTCATTTTTTTTACAATAAGAAAAAAGGATTTAAACTACTCAGGATGTTTCATGGGCTGTCGTATAGAAAGAGTGATAGAAGGCTGGTGCATTATGAACAAGTCTCAAACCAGAAAGTTTATTGGATTCTTTCACTAGCAAGTGAGCTGGGTTCGACAAAGCTGTGCATGAGCTGCTGAGCATAAGAAAGTATGAGAAAATGGTGAAATCACTGCAAATGCACTTAATGTTAAGCAACTCCTTATCTAACACCTAACACCAAACCTCTCTCTGCTTCACAATGGCCTTGAATATCCCCCAGCACTAAATTGCATAGACTTATTTTTTGTATTGTTTAAATCCTAAAACAATTCCTCATTCGAAGTTTTCTTCCCACAAGGAAAATATACATTTTCAGGAGCATCCTCAAGATTGAATATGTTCTTGGATGCTTTCCTGAGTGATTCTGTCTGAGAGGCCATGACTGAGACTGTATTTTATATATAAACCAAGATAACCACAGGATAATACATATCCTACAACAGAGCTGTATGGATACACACAGCTAAATCCATCTAGCTGTATTTTTAATAAATTCAAGCTCCTTAATGAAGAGCATGGATAATGAGCACGGTGCTACATCAGAATCTGTAGTGAATTGCCCACCCTGCACCCCAGAGCCAGGGTGACTCCATCAGCCAGCCACGGCGTACTGGGGTCCCTCCTTGCTCTGCGTGTCCCTAGCAGCTGAGAGGAGAAAACCCAGCAGCATTCACTTCCTTGGGTACCTGGGCCCTCTGGAGAGTTCAGTCTCACCGCAGTGCAATGTATACATAAGTGACCCCGAGATGAAGCTATCCCTACCACCCTCACCATCTGTACTAACCTGGGATCAATTTTCTCCTGGCCATGGCTGCTGCCCGATGGTTTTCGTATTCCACAAAAGCAAAACCCCGGTTTTTGGTTTTATCAGCTGCGCTAGGATAGACAATGACATCCACAACTCCGTCCGTGACTTTCTTCATCTCTGCTAAAATTTCCTCCCTCTTCTTTGTTTTGGGGATCCCTCCCACAAACAGGCGGCAGTTGTCCACACTGGCACAGACTCCAAGGAGACGCCTGTTCCTGAGTATAAACAACATTGCTGGTTTGTCAGGAGTCAGGATCAGTTCTCAAAGAGAGGAAAAAATTAAAATACCCCCCCCCTCTTGTCCCAAAACACAAGGTCAAACACAAGGCCTCCTGCTCCTGCGGCATATGCTTTTTGGGATATTCAAGCGGTCTTGCTCAATGCAAAAGCTAACATGAAGGGTGCCACTCTGCTAAATTTGACATCAAAGTAAGGCAGCACAGTTGAAATGAAGGATTTGAGATCAGGCAGAAACCAAAGCCAAATTTTGCTTTTGCTTCCTGAGGCTCTCCCTTTTGCTATTTGCGAAAATGGCTGCTACCAGGCAACTGTACCTACCATGCATGGTCACAGCAGTGACTCTTGTGTTGCCACCAGTATAAGCCAGGATTTGTAGTGTTCACCAGTGACTTGTAGCTTCCCAGTCACCATTGGGCCTCATGACTGAAGTTTTAGGGAAAGAAAATGACTTGTCATGGAGGCACACCATTTGGGGGCTTACTGATGTTAATTGTTGTGCAGACCCCAAAGTAAAAATTTCCTTACATGCACTTTGCTTGCCTCTTCGTGGTCCAAGTACCTCTTGCAGGTCTTGAGAAGTTAAAAACTTCTTTAGAGGAGTCTTTGGAACAAAGGAAGTAAGCAGAGGAGGTGGATGAAGCCTGATCTTTAAGACCTTCCAGCCTCTGATACAAACCACCTTTCCAGGCCCTCCCTGTGTTCCTTGTGACCTGCTCATCCTTAGGGTTGCTAGTAAAGCAATTCACAACCCATCTCTTTTTTTATATTAAAAAAAAATCCAAACTATAAAATTGCCAGAATGGTTTATCTCAAAATGCTTCTAAGCAAAGGCATCTACTCATCCCACTTTGAACTGGAAAAAAACATTAAGTGTGGTTGGAATCAAAACAAAACATACTGATGGGCCCATATGTTGTTGATTTCTGGGTGTTTTGTTCCCCATTTTTAGTCACAAACATGAGGGCTTTTTCTGTTCCTATCTATTAGGAAATGTCACTGTTTTGCCAATTGGTTTCCATCCTACTTCACGATTTTTTGCAATTGGTCTGTCTCCCAGAATGTATCTGCAGTATAGGTCACAAGAGAGACTGTGAATAGGATAAATCAACAAAAAACAGCCCAGAGGGGAACATGAAATAAACAGCAATGGTTAGGCAAAAGTTAATTTGATCCAAAACAAAATATTTTTTCCAATGTTCTGGTAGATTTTTTTTTTTTTTTTTTTTTGGTAAGGAAGACATTTCCTGCAAAAAGTTTTGGCTCTGCCTTTGTACTATGGCATAAAGCAATGGCTGCACAGGGAGACAAGAGGTGTTTTCCTCTTAAAGCTTAGGTATCTAAATAACTTTCCTCCAGGCTGCAAGGAAAAATATGCCTTACATAATAAAATAGATTAATACATATGATGTAAAGTTGTTGTGATGGTGCTGCCATGCTTACCTAATTTCATAATTATTGAGTTGCTTTATTGCATTCCTTGCTTCCTGTTTATTCGAGAAGGTCACAAAGGCGTAGCCCCTGTTGTTGCCATTAAAGTCCATCATCATTCTCATTTCATAGATTTTGCCAATCTGCAAATAGAAAGAAAAAGGGTTGTCAGCAAGGTGGGAGGTGTTTAAACAAGACCGGGTGCTTCCTTGACTATATCACGTCAGAGCTCCACCAGTAGTTGGGGCGAAATCATCTCCAGTTCAGCCTTGAAATGCAGCTTTGATCATCACTAACCTCTGCAATACAACTACCTGCCATGAAGTCTTACTTTTTCACACAGTGGTATAAGTTCATCTTCAAAGAGGTCTCGGGGCAGTTTCCCAATAAAGATCTCACACCCCCTCTCTGGCGGAGGACCATCCCAGCCAGGTGGTGGGCCTCCATATTTCCTCTGCCCATTTTCCTGTCATAGAAAAAAATAAAAGAATGGCTTAGACATATATTTTAAATGGGATGTAACCAACCCCTTCCTGGGGAATGACACTTCAGACACACTCCATTACCAGTGGGCTGGAGAGAGATGCCCTCCTTCCCTTCAAGGAGCAACTCTCTACAGACCTATCAGAGATAACATAGTGTGCATTGGCTGTTCCACTGCCATAACTGTAGTGAAAGGCTTTGATAACCCGGTTAGTATGCTGGTGATGTACTGGAGAAGGCTCTGGTTTGTAGTAGCTGAGTTTTGCTAAGGAACATGCATCAATGTATGCTCTGCAACTCAATTGCTACTTCAGATGTCCAAGACGGAGACAGTGAAATACCTCCTTGGAAAATGTAGGTCTTCTTGGCTATGGGAGGTGAACCTCTGTGGACTGTGTGTTGGTTGTGGACTGCATAATATAACACTTGCAAAATTTATAACTTGTCATGATTCTTCATCCAATCATAAATATTTATTAGCAATGATATTGCCTCTTATTTTAGTAATCAGTGGAGAGCTTACTACTCTACAGACCAAAGAAAGGATACTGGAGGGATTGTGTTTGAAGGCAGAAGGACTTTTCAAAAGCAGAAGGCATCTGGACTTCAGAAAGTGCTAACATAGGGGGAAAACTGCTCTTTCTTCCTTTCTTCCTTTCTTCCTTTCTTCCTTTTCTTTTTTCTCCATCCCTTGCTTTCTTTCTTTTCCTTCCTTGCTTCCTTCCTTCCTTCCTTCTGTCCCTCTCCCTCTCCCTCTCCCTCTCCCTCTCCTGTCCTATAGTGATGCCCTGCTCCCAGAGGAGCTGGGACTCTGGTCATTTTTTTATTTTTGGCTGCCTGATAATTTCTGTAGTTATTTCCCACTCTGGGATTATTCCAGGCAAGTGAATGCCTGTATGGCTGACTTAAGAGGAAAGCCTAAAGCACATAAGCAAACAGAGATCCTTGCAGGAAAATAAGAATATACCACAAGCTCTTTCAGTTTTCCTGAGCCTATAACAGGCCCTGAATGATCCATGGTCATTCCTGTTTTGCAAATGTTTTCAGCACAGTAATGGAGTCACAGAGATATTTGTTTTTATGAATTATTTCTTATAGGAGATCTAACAGGAAGACCATGATGTTTCAGGCTATTTTTCTGCCCCCAGTCTGGCTGAACTGAGCACGTTGCTGGCATGGGATTTTTCTGTCTCTCAAGCTATTTGTTAGGTGAAGACAAAAAGTGATAGTCGTGTTTTGTGTTGTTGCGGTCATCTGTGATCTTCACTAACATGTCAGCTGGAGGAATGCTGGGCTCATCAACAATGATCTGAAAATGGTTAGAGGAGCCTTACTGTCCCAGTTTAATCCAACCAAAAGACAGTCAAACAGTTCTTTTTTAAAATTTTTTTTTAATGTCTGTGGGAGCTGGTGTGTGAGGAGGCACAGCAAGAAATGAAGTCTTCCATCAATCTGCAGTGGCTTTGTTTGTGGCTTGAAGGCAGCATCTCCACAAACTCATCTTCACAAGGTGTCTGGAGGGAAGAAGGACTTTATCATCCACTTCACAAAGATGAGTGACCCTGGCATGCATTGAGGAAGAAGGTGTTTGGCTGCATCAATAGATAGGTTGGAAGAAAAGACAAAGGGATGTGGAAAAGGAAATTAGGAGGGAAAAAAAAAAAAGACAAAATAGTAAGCTTGGAATGGAAAAGGTAGGAAGAAAGAAGATGGAGGGGGGGACAGGGCTGGGAGTTGAAATCTGTGGTTTAGGAATGAGCCATAGCCAGATGTGACAGTATGAAAAACTGAAGACCAGGATAAAGAAAGCCACAGTAAATGTAAGACATAGAGAAGTCATTTATCTTCTGGGTCAGGTACAGCAGAAAGCCTCCTCAAGGGCAACAAACCCAGCTGCTGGCCTGATCCTGGGGTGCACACAGGATTAAGGGCTATAGGAGAATGCTTTTTCCCAGGAGTCTCAGTTTTTGCTTTGGGCTGTTGTGCCCTCTAGTGCTATGCAACGCAAGGCAAAGATCAAGGCAGCCACCTGCCTAAAATTCAGTGTTTTCACTTACTTCTTCCAGGATGCAAGGTCGGTCATATTAGTGCCCAATGCGTTCAAAAAATTAGCTTGTTTTGGTCATGCTAACTGAGAAGGACTTCTTCAGATGGCTTTTGAAGGACATGCCCAGTCTCCACCTGCCCTAACCAGAGGAGGCTTTGGACTTGGAGAACTTAAAGACTAAACTGGGAGCAAACCTTTGGTGTTTGGGCAGGTGAGGCGCCTGCCTCACATGCACTTGTACAAAAGGCAGATCTGGTGGTGATGTGCTGGATTCCTATGGCCAACTCTGGACCTACACTCTTCTGAAGCTTTGTTAAGTGGGTTTTCTTTACTATGCTACCACTGCAGCCATGGCTTTGAGACAGAAATCCCAACCTTTCCCAACATTTAGCAGTGCTTGGGTTTGTTTTTCCACCCTTATCATAATTTGGCATTGGGCAAAGAATTCCTGGAGGAATAAGATCCTGCTTCATAAAAGACAGCATCTATTACATGTAATTATGTGCAGCAGGTACACTAGAGAAAAACAAAGAGAGGGAGAATGAGCAAGGAGCGCTTCATGCATCCAGATTCCCTGCTCAAGCCCCCGATGCAACACATTGCTTTAGGATGAAGCCAGACACTGCATACAAAAGGACGTAACCATGAGTTCCTACCTGGATCAAATTATATCCCGTTCGCTGAATTAATGCACGGAGGGCGGCTTCTTTCTGTGTGCCGGTCAATCCATCCCCGGATTTGTGATTTGATTCCATTGTGAGTGATTATCAGCAAAAAATCAGGTTAATTAGGGTTGCTCACTGCAATCAAATTTAAGATAAATTAAATAAATTAATAAGGCTAGGAGGAGAAAGTCTACCCTCCTAAGAAAGTTAACAGGATCATTCTTCCTAAATCAGTTATTTTGAGATAAAAACAAAACACCACAGACCATGGAAAAAATATCCCCCTCATGTTGCATGAAAATAAATAGCATTTAAACCCACCGTCAGATTTTGGACAGCACTCCAGTGAGACGCAGAGGGATATTGTAACATATCAGTGTACATGTCTTAGGAGGGAAACACATTTAAGATGCCAAATCCTGCGCTGAGTACGTGACAATGAGTCGTTCATGCCATTGCATCCTGTTGATGCTGGGAAGTGAACCTTGTACAAGCCATGTCCAGGACTTTATGAGAAACAAGACCTAGCTCCAGATTTGCCTTGTTTTTAAAAATCAAGAACATGGGAGAACTTCAGATCTGTATCTAGGTTCAGGGCTGGAACAACCTTGGGTTCAGATGTTTTGATGCAGAGGTGTAGTTTTAGGTTATATCTAATTAAAGATTTGTTTTAAGTTTTGGGTTGGGGTTGAAAACACCATAAAGCTGAAATCTGAATCTGAATTAGGTTACACAGTGACAAAGGGGCATTTATAAGACGGACACACAACCTATAATTTCAGGCTGCCCCATTTTTTCTGCATGCTGAGCATTGAGCTTGTGCAAAACCCATTTGTATGAGCCAAGCATAGAAACAGGGTCTGCAGGTGCAATGTTGAGCTTGAGAACCTGTGATGATGGGCAGATGCTGAACACCAGCAAGAGCAAAAGCACCAAAAAAGTTGCCTCCTTGGGTCCTCATAGCCAGGGCATGTGCTGTGAGCTGGTAGGACCAAGAACTTTATAGTAGGAAACCACTAAATCACGCCATCCAAAATGATTGTTATTGCTTTAAGCTGCTTTCAGTTGTACAAAGTAGGAGGCAATGAGAGGCAATAACTCCCAGGCTTGTCTGGAGAGCAAACAGGGCCAAAAGGGGCTGGGGAGGGTGTACTGGAGATGAAGGGGACAGGGCACCCCAGGACCCCCATGGCACGGGGATGGGGAAGGGCATGGGATGGTGGTGGAGATGCTGGGCAGGGAAGAAGGGAAATGGAGAGGAGCAGAGGCAGGGTGACAGAAAGGTGAAAGGGTGATGGATTGCTGTGGCTGCACCCTGAGCTAATGCCAAATTTGGGGGCGAGGACCCTAAACAATCCCCCTGTGCAGCAGGTCTCTTGGTGCACATGACATGAGCATTGCATGTAAAGAAATGCAGGTAAGGAAGTGCAACATATCTGGCTATGGCAGATCTTCCGAGCGTGCCAAGATGCTATGGAAATAACAGAAAAATTCTTTTCCAATAACCAGCTGTGTAACACCAAGATCTTTTATTAGCACACGCCACTTTTGGGGTTCATTGCGGGAAGAGCTAAGGTTTGAGGCTGGCCACTTCACCTTTGGACATTACCTGCTCTGTGCTCCTATACCTTTGTATCCTGGAAGACTTAAACAGGTGCTTTAAATTTAAATAGATGGATTATTATCAGAATGAAAAATGGGGCACAAGGCCAAATGTTTGGGGGATCTCAGCTTTGTGTCACTTGGGCTCAGCCACACTGAGGTCCACAGACCGCAACTTAAATACTTGGAAATAGAGAAATCTTTGCAATGCAAGATTTTGGAGCTATTTATTGCTGAGATTTGTGAGACCCTTCTGATTTTTTTTTTTTTTTTTTCTGTGCTCCCAGGTTCTCTGTTGTTTTAATTACTACCAAAGTGCAGGGGCTGGGACATGGACTGTCCAATGCAATAGCTTTCTCCTGCCTCTAATTCCAAAACAAGTGTTTTCTGCAGGAACGGGAGCCTGATTATTGTTTTGTTTTGCCCTTGCTGAGGGCAGCAGCAAAACCCCATCGATGCTTGTGGTTTCTGTGCCTGCCTACACCTCCAGAGCTGGGGTTCAGCATGGCATGGGGCAGGATTAGCACACTGCTGTGCAAAAACGAGTCAGATGCTTTCGCAGGCTGCTTAAGAAGGAAAAAGCAGTCATTCAAAAAAACCCCAATTAAAATCCAAATTGGTTTTGCATCCTCCCTTGCCTGAGCAGAGACACCCTATATGCACCCTATAGAGGAAAGCTCTGGTGTACCTCAAATTTTGCCCCTTATATTTTGCTTTTGCTGCATCCCAGTTCCATCAGGGGTTTGAGCAATCAAACTGCAGCACTTGGTGCAAATTTGCACAGTGCTCCATGAGTCTCTGTTACCTCTTATATCTGGATTTGAGGCCATCCTCGTGTACCTGAAGGCCGAGACAGAGGTGGGGACCAAAAGGGACAGCAGCACTATGAGATATCTCTAATATTCACCACCTCAGACTTCACCACTATTTTTTTTTCTCTATCAGGTATATCAGTGCTGCAGTGACCTGCTTCCCGGCAGGGAGGCTGCCCTGGGTGTCGGAGCGCAGAAGCAGGCACATCGCTCCACGCCAGCACCGGCTCCCCTCTGTGCCAGGAAAGCGGCTGGACTGCAGCCAGACAAACCTCGGCAGCTTTCCATAGCGGCTGAGGTTTCCAGTCTGTCCCCAACCACGACCTAGATAGATGATTAGTGTAAGAGCCTTTTTTTTTCCTCCCTCCCTGCAAATTGCACTATTTCATGCTGCACTTCCCTACAGGCTGGGTGTCTCAGCAGCTGCTGCTGTGAATGCATTTGCATGCAGAGCCTTAAATACCATACGTCTCTGTACCTCTCCTCCAGGGAGGAGTAATTTCCAGTAACATCTCACTCCAGGTGATGGTTTCATGCTGAGCGGTGAGCACGAGCCACAGGGCTGGGGGATGGATGGGAATAGAGCATCTCCCCGGCTGATGCATTTACAGCAGGAGCAATATCCCTCTTCAGCTTCTGCCTTATTAGGTAAGACCAGGTGAGCTCCTCTGGCCTCTTCTCGTAAGGCATCCTGCAAATTTTTTAGGCTCTAGACCAGCATGTCTAGACATTGGTGTACTCCAGAATATGCTCAAGCAATCCCTTAGGAATAAGGGAGCAAGAGCGTTCAAGGATGCACAAGGTATTTATCACAGCTGCTGCGAAATCCGGTGTTGGAGACTTCCATGCATTTTTTGAAAGTGCCAGAAAAATCAGTTGCCGTGCTTTCAGGGTGTGTGTTAATGATGATCTGGCCTTAATCTGTGCCCAGTGCTTCCACACGCTGCTGCCTTCAAAGAAAGCCCAGCTGGCCTCAAGGAAACAGCCCTTCCCCATGTGAGCAGTGGAGGATCCCCATCCCCAGGGATGCCCCGACTTGCCTGGACCACAGCCCTCAGCAGCCTGCTGCAGCTGTGGCATTGGTCCTGCTGGGACCGGGGTCCGGCTGGAGACCCCCACCCCAGGGTACCTCTAGCCTGAGTTACCCTGCAAATCTCCGTTCCTGATTCAGGAGGAGCATCGGAGACCGGGGCTGGACAACACCGCACACTCAAGGGCTTGGACGCGCATGCGGATGACCCAACGCACCACCCAGGTCCAGTTTTGTAGCACCACTCTTAGAAATGAGGTCCCTCCTACTAATTACCAGCCCAAAGTCATTCACAGCTAATTTATAAGCCTTGTTACTAGAGAGCTTTCCTCCATCAGTTGGGTTTCCCTGGGACAGAAACAGAAATCATACCTCTCTTTTTTAAGAGGTGTAAATCCCAACACAACAGGTCCCAAACACAGTAAAACAGGCTTTCCAGCCTCCAGTTTTCCAAGCACCTCTTCAGTCCCCGCTTCTCTCCTACCTCCCTTGGCCTGAGGACATCTAAACACCTTTTTGGACAGGGCACTTTCCCACCAAGGGTCCATATCCATCAATGCATCCAGACTATTTCCAGGGTACAAGTTGTGGTGGGACATTTTATTTCTGAAACTGGTGGGATTTCAGCAGTTTCCCCTTATTCCAGGCATCAGCCTCAGTCCTTGCAGTGGGGCCAGTGTGCTGGGCTATTTTTTTTAATCATTAAGGGTAAGGGAGGAGAGCTGCTGTCATGGGACCTGGGGAAACATGATTACTTTCTCTCCTTCTTTGTTCCCTGGGCCATTAATCAATTAGCAAATCCCCCTTTGGGGGGGGGGGGTGGAACAACAACTCCAACAACTCCCCTTCCATGGCTGCTGTTGGAAAGTGTGAATGACTGCAGCAAATTAAGGCAGCGTTTTTAGCACTATTTAAAAAAAAAAAAAAATCCAACCACACTTAATAGAAATAATTGTTCTGGAATTCAACAATTTCCCATTTCATCCTCATTTTTGACCAAATTTTTAACAATACAACCAAGTTATCATGGTCACAGAATCAAGAACCCTGCACCATTAGAAAAAGAAGGTACTGCTTGTATCTTAAACTAGAGCATCACTTCATTTGATTTTCCTCTCTCCATTGAAAGCTCTCATTCATTTTAGGTTTCTATTAAAGCTCTAAAACGCCAAGGCAAGAAAAGGTACTTTTATGCCCCATATCAACAAGAAACAAACTTACTATAATACTGCTTCACCTCTCCATTACTACTTCTACACATGGTTTCCTTGCCAGCTACTGCAGGCAGATCCTATGGCTTTGCTCCAGCCAGCCAGGAGCAAGATGAATCCGGAAGCTTTTACTCAAAAAAAGGAGATTTTACTTCGCTTTTGGGTTATTTGCTTGGAAAAGCAGGAATCCGTTTCCCCATTCAAGGTATGTCACCAGTGCTGGGGATTGTTGTTGAGAGGAAGAAAGGTGGGGTTTGTGGCCAGACCCTGCTCTCTTCCCCCACCGCTTTTGTACCCTGAGCCTGCCCCTTCACAGCCTTTTCAGGGAAACCTGGTTACTGTTTCCATAAACGAGATAACGAAACCATGTTTATCCTGCGCAGATCAATACAACTTCATGTTTAAATGTGTTAAGCCACTTGGACACATTTAATG